AATCAGTAACTGAAATTCGTCGGGTGCTTTGTTCAGTCTATTTAAAGTGTCGTCATGCGCTTTCTAGCTGGACAGCTCAACTGAACATACTCGGTCAGAAAACTGGACACAAATATATTTCCCGCAACGCTAACTTTTTTGATATGAAAATCAAGGGTTTGTCATACGGTTGGTACAATGTAATAGGACGAACCTTTGTTTTCCTCCATGAATGTTCGGACCAGATTACTTACTAATGTTCTTGGGGCACAATGCCTGTGGTGCTGATCAGCTCTGAACATAACACCCAATTTCTGCGGAACTTGGTAGGTAGATTGTGAACTCTTGTTTAGTAATCTCGGTGAAGAAACCAGTGACCTTGTACAGCGGCCGAAATACCCTCATTCCGCATATCCACAGTGCTCATTTACCCAAAGTGCTTTCTTTACCAACATGGTGGCTCGGGATAAATTGGCTTGGATATTCAGGTTTCATTTGACCAGTTGTGTAGTAAAGTGGGAAAAATGTCTGTGGGACGTTGACGCTTTCCTCTTTATCTATTTAGTGACTCTGAGAAAACCATCAATTTTACATCACAAGTAGGAACGAACAAGAATGAAACAGAGTCAAACGGAACGGCTCGTAAGCCAATCAAGACTGGTTCTCAAGTATAAAACAAGCTGAGAGCTTTTGTCCACATAAGCCAGTAGGGTATCAAACATTCAGGATGGTCTCACGGAATGCTAACAATTTTCAGTTGATATTTTGGGGAAAAAGCTGCGGTAATCCCTATGGGGTCTAAACCCCCGACCAACGGATAAAACGTTTTCAGGGATTGATGAAACAGGCTCCCGCGTCCCTTCTTGGAGGCCATCGGTCGATCGATTAGTCATTTGACTAAGGTAGCGAGGATATGTTCTGAGGGGCGTACTCATAAGCTTCTATCTATCCGACCAGTGTGTATGTCATAACAACTGCACGTAAGTCGTACATAACTCGTGAGTCAGAGATTGAGCACGGTACGCATTTAAGACTGGTTTATTTCGTTAAAGGCAGCAGCAGTTGTTGAGGGGCTGGGTACGTACAAACGATTTCAGCATGTAATTTGCGTTTTATGGCTGTAAGTAGATGGTCTGACAAAAATTTTCTATTGGAAATTCGAGCTCCGCCTAACCACAGAGATGTAAATATCGATTAATTTCTCTGGGTAGCCATCCAGAATCAGTATTTGAGAATAGAATCCCACTTCGTTTCGGAGAGTCAGTAATACAAATACGTCTAGCATGGTGAGAGGGCCACGTTTTTGTAAGCTAAAAGAGTAAAACTGAAAAATTATGAATTTCGCGGTCTTGGGGTACTTGTGTATATATAATGTATATAATGTTCACACGGTTGTATAAGTTGTTAAAGTGAATACAGTCCGCAGAAACTGTTCATCATTTGTAGAGTACAGTATAGGCCACTTCAGGATGGACCAGAGTATGAGGGCAAGGATGCCAAGCTAGTAGGTTACGTGTTCATCTCGCAATCAGGATACATGATAACAAGGCAAACAACGGAAGTGCCCGACCGAAAAACTATTTGGGATCGAATGTCAGCCCCAGCTGGTAGCACCTATGTCAACACCCACGCAACAACCACCGACTCATCACCATGCCGCACCACGCAACAACGCACTGATGCCACCTCGATTGGTGAGGAAAGGTTTGCAAACTAATTGCCCGATTCAGCGGACAAACTAACGACCAAAGCCAATTGTTCACCTTCGAGTGATGTGGCCGCTTCTGTACAACAACTTAAGCGAAAAAACATTAACTTTTGGTTGAGCTGATTCACTAACTCGCCCGTCGTACTTCCCAGTCGGGTAGCTTCATTAACTTGATTGGTTGTTGGTCAGGTGGCTGTTGATCTGTTCGCCGAGCTTTGCAAATGGCTTGCAAACGTTTCGTACATCAATGATGTGCGCATTGATGATGTCTCCTCTTATGGTGACGAAACGTTTGCAAGCCAATTGCTAAACTCGGCGAACAGATCAACAGCCACGTGCTCAACAACCAACAAACTCCCCGAGCTACCAATAGTTCAGTTCACTAACTTTGTTATTGTAACCCGGTCTTGGGTATCTGAATCCTGTCGCCATCGCGTACCTGAGCGGTTGATGGGATTAGGTAGGAGAAGAATATGAATTTGTCCCTTGTCAAGAATGACTGCTCTAGGACAGGTGGGGACAGTTCAAACAAGGGTGCTGTAAACAGATATCTTAGGAAGCCTTCCACTGTCCGGCAATTGAGTAGCCTGACATCCAGTTGAAAGAGAGAGTAAGCGAGTTCCACTACTCATACGATTCCAACATTGGGCGACAATGATGCTAAAGCCACAACAGTAATGTTTGAATTATTACCTGATATACAACGTATCGCTCTTTTGTTTGCACCATATTTAGCTACGAAGGTCTGGTTTATTCAAATCAATCGAATATAACTGATAATGTAGACGCAATACACTACTAAAAGTTTGCTGAAAAATCTTCAACAGCCAACGACCAGTTTTACCCTTCTTGGGGCTCATCAGGTAGATGTACTCCTCGAGTTTCCGTCAACCTTGCGTTCTACATGAACCTTAATTACACAAAATTTGATTTATAGGCTCATTTGCACATTGATTGGGTTTGTCGGAAGACTCACCCGGAACCCAACTGAATTCCTCGTTTACGACGTTTTTAGTCAACTGACTGTGCTGCTTCGGGCTGCCCCGATATTCAACATATCACTCAGCATACCTAATACACTGCGTTCCAGATGGATATCGCGTCAAAACCAGTGGGTTTACAAGACGAATAACGGATAATACTTCAGCTTCTAATGCAGCACACGAGGATTGCGTTAGTATACGACAAACAGTTACAATCAGCGAATGTTGTGTTTACTGGCCGTACGAATGCATATCGGAATTGAGTACCGCAAATCAGATGTGCAATTTGAGCTTTCCGGAAGCCAGCTTGTAAAACCGGCCGGTCAGTTGGTTGCATTTCCGTCAAGCTAAGATGATAAGTCTTGTCCCTTAAGGGTGGGATTTCGGTCACTTTGCCTAATCCTTCCTTAAATCAGCCTAAGGGGTGGCTTGTTCCTAAAAATTAATAGTAGATGTAAGGAAGCAGCAGATATTACTCCACCTAAAGATGTATAAAATGGATGAAAAAGAAAAGCCGTCATGGCGACTTGTTCTTGCATTTTCCATCTTCATACACCACCTGATTAACCTACCTTTTCACGAAAACGATGGTCTTGGGCCAGGTATTATTTATTTTCCCACACGTGGACACATTCCGACCAAAATTCGACCACAAAGTTGGAAAACAAATTCGGAAAAAAATTTCCTTAACTTTGATTACAATAACTCCACACCATTTTACGTTAATCATTAAAACCGCCCTTTGATCTTGAAAAACTGAAGCACAGCTACTAATATCCCTTCCAATCCATTAGCACCGTATATTTGTTCCAGTTGTGTCTGGCGCACATTTTAAACAAAAATTCATTCAGATGAAAACATCTCTAATGCGTCGAAATACGTTTATCGGAACAATCATTTATTTGGGACCTTATACCCATTACTGTGCGAGAGCACTTTTACTCCCAAAAGTTTTGAATGGTCCCACAGAAGTGCGGGGGAAATAAATGAAAACATTTTTGTAGCTGTTTAGCAGCACTGAATGGTGGGTCTTCATATCTTTGAAGAGAGGAGACTTGACAAACCTCGTGCTCCTTGATTATAATAGCTTAATGATATTCAAGATAGACAGTTGTTGGTTGTTGGCTTATTTGCTGAGCTGGGCAATTTGATTGCAAATGTTTCAAAGGTAGAATAGTTCATTAAAAATATAGAGAACTGAATAGTGCTTGCTTAGATGTAGCATCTTTTTGGGTCTTAGCTGGCATGCCAACTGGAGAGAGTTGATATACTGTAAGATTTTCTTAGCTTAGACAGGAAGAGTCGAAACGTAATACTTGGGTTCCAGCTACCGACCGGTTAGTAATTTTGCGCCTGAACCAATAAGCTGCCTTGATCTGTCGTTCGAATTTTGGTTGCCCCTTAATTTTTATTTTCTAGGAACAAACTTGACACATAGCACACTTCTTGTGACAACTTACTTTATCTCAGCGATAATAAAACTGATAATAAAACTGATAATAAACTGATCTATTGCCGCTTTCCTGATTAGTTAGCGCCGAAGTGTATGGCCTTGAATATAGTGTATTGCAGTTGTTGGTTTATTCGCTCGTTGGGCCATTTGATTGTAAGTGTTTCACCTCCGATCGAGGTAGAATCATCAGTCCGTTGTTACGGATCTTGACGGAGCCTGGCAATGGGTCGCCACTCAGATTACCTAGTTCAACAAGAAAAGCCAGCGACCATTCACGCTACCTGAGGTAACAGTATTTTTCCAGCAATTTAACAGCTTCACACATGGTTTCTTTGTAAACATGTTAAGAGTGTGGTCTACCAACTCTAGACAGAGAAATCAGTTAGCTAGGATTAGTAACTTCTTCGATAAAATGAATATCAAGATTAACGAAATGCACTCATTTGCATACAGTCATTTAATGTTTTCATAAACGCGGAACAAAATTTTTGCGTGTATTTTGCTAATTTCGTGTATTTTGGGTCCAAATAGAACATCGGAAACTCGGGGATCGCGCCCACCTGATGAGCCCCAAGAATGGCAAAATCGGTTGTAGGGCTGTCGAATTATTTTCATTGACCTTATGAGTAGCGCATTACGTCTGTACGAATGTCAAGATGGTTCAGGCACCAACATTATTTAAGTATGGTGTATCTAACAATTTAGACATTGAGATCCCTTTTGGAGTTTTAAGTAACTTACATTTTGTGAACCTATGAATATTCTATGGTTCATATTGCTGCAAGAGAGTTGCTAACCAAAACGCACGCGCCAGAATTATTCAAAAAGCAACTGGAATACCACAGCTAAAACGTCCCATTTAGTTCGACGTGACTGCTTAGTCTGATGGCTTGAAAGGCGATCCAGTAAATTTGATCAGTCGATATACTTCTGATGACTGATCGACCAGAAATCGTCGGGGCAAACTGGAAGCAGCAAGGCAATCTTTGGTGTACTGAATAATTGAAGGGTCTAGAAAAAATTATCTGGATTACTCTCATGTTTCTTTATTGGCAGCCGAAAACCAAATGGCAAAACGGCGTCCAATAAACGTGAAGCATGAAACTGCTAGTGGTTGGCGGAGTTGCAGTGGATGCTCACGGCTATCATTATGTTTTGCTCCTAAACCAAACATGCAACCAAGGTAAAGCTCTGGCGAAATGCGACGCTTTACCTATGCTCCGTAATCTTTGGCGATTACGACTGCAGCTGCACCTACTCATTTGCAAACAAACTTGGTTTTGCGAGAGACTCATTTGGAACCTAGCTGAATCTCTCGTTTGTAATGTTCCCAGATACGGTAACCATTCACCAATGAAAAGCATCGTTTACTGAATTGGAGTTACCATTTTCTAATGTATAAAAAATTTACTAATGAGAATTTTGACCGGTTTGAGTTCTCATGAAGACGAACTGTAAACTGGCAGTTTGTCGACCGTATACTTGCAATTACCTGAGTAAAGGGATTTAGCCCCGAGATCGATGACTTTGTCAAAGTTGGCGGAACTTGTTGCAGTAGCTGCAGATTTCGATGAACGTTGACGCTGATGGGCATTCAGGCACTAATGATGGAGTGAACTCACTTTACGCCCACGTTCTATTCGACATTCAGAGGTATAACAAATATCCGTCAACAAATCATCTGAAGTGCTTACAAGAGCAGCATTTTCGTCCACTCCCATACAAGTTATCAGGTTAAAAGCTGTGGTAACAAGTAGACCAACCTTTGAGCTGCAGCTGCGATACATGTATATATTTCTATTGTAGTCTACTACTCATAAGGTTGCTGAAAATCCATCCACAGCCCACGACCGGTTTCGCCCTTCTTCGGGCTCATCAGGTAGGCGCAGTACCCGGGTTTCCGTCAACCTTATCTTCTACTTCAAAGCAATTTGCACCAAATTAGCCAATGGACACTCACTCATTTGCAAACTAATTCGGTTCTCTAGAGAGACTCATTTGGAACCTAGCTGAATCTCTCGTTTGTAATGTTCCCAGATACGGTAACCATTCACCAATGAAAAGCATCGTTTACTGAATTGGAGTTACCATTTTCTAATGTATAAAAAATTTACTAATGAGAATTTTGACCGGTTTGAGTTCTCATGAAGACGAACTGTAAACTGGCAGTTTGTCGACCGTATACTTGCAATTACCTGAGTAAAGGGATTTAGCCCCGAGATCGATGACTTTGTCAAAGTTGGCGGAACTTGTTGCAGTAGCTGCAGATTTCGATGAACGTTGACGCTGATGGGCATTCAGGCACTAATGATGGAGTGAACTCACTTTACGCCCACGTTCTATTCGACATTCAGAGGTATAACAAATATCCGTCAACAAATCATCTGAAGTGCTTACAAGAGCAGCATTTTCGTCCACTCCCATACAAGTTATCAGGTTAAAAGCTGTGGTAACAAGTAGACCAACCTTTGAGCTGCAGCTACAGTGTCGAGCAATCCGCTGGCTCATTATGTGCTCCAGTGACGTACCAAGTGCCCAAAATATCATAAGGGGGACTTTAAGTGAAGCAAAAAGATCAAGAATGACGGCGAAGAAAGACCAAGGCGTCAGGGTTCCTTGTTCTTTTTGTTTTATTCACCGAAAAAGGCCACTCGCCTGCCATCAGCAGATGGTGGGTGAGGTGCCAGAAGGATGAGTTTGTTTGTGTATATCATCAATATGTGCCAGGGTACTGTTGCAGTAAAAAGACCCGGGTAATAGGACAAGTAGTATCCATAAACATCTAGTTTGCATGAAAAATCTGATCAAAAGGCAGCGTTTGTTACGGCCAAATTACCGGAAAATGCAGCAACTTAAGTGTGATATTTGATAAGAAATGCTGGGATGAAAGTGGGTGACTTCGGCGCTAATCACGAGCAAGAGATGACCAAAATAGCCAATTACAGATTACACAAAATTATCCGCTGTTAAATTCTCGCACGTTAACTGGAAACATCAAGTGAGTCATTAATTTAGCTAATTAGAAATTCACACGTAAATATCAGAAGGGAGACGCCCTTAGTTAGTTTGTTTATTGAATTTCTTAGGTAACAATCTTTGACCTGAGCGGGGCGGGACATTCCTAGACCAACTGAATTTACACCTGTTTCTCGTGGTAGGAAAAGTTAATTGTGAGAAACAGAAAGATCGCTACCAAGCTAGAACTTCGCTCACATCATATGAGTGCTGAATTTTGAACTACGGAAATTTAGGCGAATCTCTTGGCAAACCACGTTAGGATTATGGTAGCAGGCTTTCTTGAGTCAACTCATGATTTGAGCCAGAGCAGGGAAAACATTTCAGCGGATGCGCATCACAAAGGAGAGAGTAATTGTTTTTTTTGGTTAAGGTTGGAGAAACATCACCTCCGAGAGACCATCACAGTGACTCCATAACCTCAAACCCTGTTGAATATTTTATTATATTTCCCGTTGCTGGCAGGTACATTTTATTCCGTGGGGCCAGTATCAGTTGCTAAAAAATTAAAGCACATCCGTCTTCAAGAACGGGTATCCCTTGACCGCCAACTAACTTCAAGTTGTGGCCGTGAACTCTGCTCATAATATCATACTGCGACCGAGCAAAGTTTGTTTAGTTGTTGGACATTTGTATGGTTTGTAGCTTATGGGCATTAGGCAGAATCAGATAAAACCGCGACAGAGCGGAAGTTGTTCAGTAGGCACTAGGTGCAGTACGGCTAGGTAATACTTTTATGTGCATTGTGTAACCAGACATGTCGCTCGCCGCTTAAAATCACGCCAAAGTTTTTTTGTGCTAACTTATGTGGGGAATTCGAACCACTATTGGGGATGAAATACTGTGCTGTACTGTTATACAGTTTTCGGAACGTCACTAGTTTCCATTCCTTTTGCATGATCGATTGGTTCAACTACGAACCAGCGGTGAATACCCGCCAGCGCTCTGGAAGATGTCATTCACCAGAGGACTAAGAGAAACAACTACTTTACAGAACAGAGCTGGTATTAGTAGCCTTGGCGTTAACATCGTGGACAGTGGTTGCTTGCGGTTTATGTTTGCAAACTTATGCAGAACTTCAAGAATGTTTAGGTGGGTCATATTAAAACAAATGTTTTGTAGTTAGGACCGACCAAACGTTGCTGTATAAAACAATTCAGCTCCGATAGCGTCTTATGTCATACGAAAACCTTCCGGTGTTCTGGATTAACAGATACATTATCTTTATAGCAAGATGCTGTTATGCGGTCGCGTCTCTAGTGGAATATGAGTGATTCACTAATGGACCTTCATCTTCTTCACACTAGTGGGAAAGAATGACACCGGGGTCATACCAGCCGACATTTTCTGGTACAAAACGGAGGAGAAAATTCTCCCGATAAACCCTGCCTTCTTGATATTTTGTGTTATACCTTTAAAATTTTACGGAGTAAAAGAACAGCAGGTCGATTTTACCCACCAATAATTTGTTTGTTAGATTCAGTGTATCTGTTCAAAATGCATTTCTTTCCTTTTAGCAAAGTTTCGTCGAAATTTTTCCAAGTTAATCGATACGATCTTATTTATTTGATCTTTTTTTGTTTATTCTTATACGCTTTCTTTTATCACCATCAAAAGAATTGAAATCATTTGGACTGAGAGCCGGTGAACGTGATGACTACTATTTTGTGTCTACATAGACGGACTTACTGCATACGTAAATTTTTGCTGAGAAATTACTAAAGCAAAACACATTAAGTGAAGAATTTTCAACTACGTTTTGACCGTTTTAAATTTTATTTGGTGTACTACTACATATCCGGTTAAAACCTTTCTAGAATTCCTAAGTAGATTGCCTTTGAATGCAATTTCGAAGTAATCGGTACTTGATTTCACGTAAAACAACCTCAAAGAACGCCAACCAGTTTACCATATGCCCGATAGGTGAACCCGCGTTTCTAATCTCGGCCTTTAAAGAGCTTCACGCACTTTCGTTGCTTTCGTATTCTCATAGAAATAAGTACTTCTGCCCTGGTTGAGATAGCACACCGAACGGTCAGAAACTGACACGCTTCGAACCATCAGTGGAGAACTTTTAACTATATTCCACATCGTCAATGCGTATTTTTTGAGCTTGGTTTACATTACACTTTTTTAAACTTGCGTGCTCAGTATATTCCGGCCAACTTGAATAAAGCGTTTCCTGGGTGGACAAGACGTCACGTACTGTTACGCTAGTTCTTTCTGACACAGGTTAGTGCGTTCACCGACATTACTGAGCTTGCCGAAGCATTTTCCTCAAATTGGTTGGTGTTGTGGAAATTTGTGGAAGTATTTGAACAAATTCACTCGTCATCAACTAAATTAAGGCTCTTGCCGTCTTCGTAATATTTCAGTTAGTCTCTCAACAAAGTTTCGGAGGCTTTTCGCCGCCTCTTCTTCTGCTTTTAAGGCCAAGCTAGTACGTATAAAAATGGGTTTATACCATACAGAAATTAACTTACCAGAGCGACACGGCAGCTGATGAGGGAGATGAGTCTGCTAGTTAGATATTCGTGGTTTAAATTGTGGTTGTACTACACAACAGGTGTGCTAGGAGGTGTCAAAAGAACTTATAAGTAATCGCACAGACGTCCGCCTTTGAAATATGCAATGTTTAATTACGATATACACTTTGGGAATCTAGCATCGAGAGTACAGGATGGACGGCATGGTTGGTGCGAGTAACAGCGTTATCCTGTTTATCTTCCCACCTGTCCGCTTATATCAGTGAATCCCAACACTATATATTCCGGTGTCCTCAAACGGTAAAACAGATTTACCCAAAGAAAGAAAACGGTGTAATAACTACTCATGACAATAAGACTTTCTCTGTCGGTCTGCAGTTGTTGTTTATTGAATACGAGACTACAGAAAGACACATAGCAACAGGCGCTAATCGTACAATAGTTGGCTATGTTTGCAAATGTGCGCGCGTTCCACCATTATTCGTGAAGCTCGAAATAATCCTACTAATAAGCAGAGAGTCTCTGTCGACAATGTTTTTAGTTCATCAAATAATTATCCCATGAACTTCCTTATCAAAAGGGATGTGTCCAATATTTGTCATTCGATGCCTCCAAGTTTCCTGTTTCGGGTCTTTGATTGCCGTGCATTTAGAGGCCGTGATCCTGATTATTATTATAACGGAGAAGGGTGGTTAAGCTCATCTGGCACTTGTTCTTTTGGTCAAAGTTGTATATGGTGAATGTTATACAGAACACTCTGGTAAACTCAAATAATTAACGCACTCTGTCGTTGGTTTCAGAGCATCTGGCACTTGTTCTTTTGGTCAAAGTTGTATATGGTGAATGTTATACAGAACATTCTGGTAAACTCAAATAATTAACGCACTCTGTCGTTGGGTTTCAGAGCAGAAATATAGCTTCGAAAATTGTTCAGCCGGAGTTCTCTTTCATTAACACGATCACGTACATCTGATGAGTGCACCCAAGTGCTTTTGCAACCCAGACCAAAATACGCCTCTGAATAGTCCATGATTAGGGAACTCAAGTATGATGGGTCTCATCCCGAGTACCCGTTTCACTTCACATCTTTGCATCATACATTTTCTAGGTTGAAAGCTACTCCATCGTTCATACCAAATGCAAGTCTGGACGACCCTCACTGTAGTTATCTTTTACTCAACATCGCAACAATCGCCATCCAGGCTTCTGTAGAACTTTATCCCAAGAGCGGCAACCTGCTTACACGAGTCTCTAAAGGTCCATTAACGTCACAACCGTATTAGCGCAGTTGGTGGACTGTTTTGGCTGCGGACATGAGTGTGAGAGTCCTCTGGTATGTGGGTTTACAAACCGCAAGTTTTCACAGTAGGCCGAACCTGTACTCAGTCCATTATTTCAACCCTGCTCTGTATCGACCTCACAGTCAAGTCCATGCTTAAGGGTTTACTTTCAACCAGTATGGTGTAAATGGTGAATGACTATTATTTTCGTCTATTATTTTCGTCTTCTTTCAGGCACCCAAAACACGGACGTGAGGAGTGCAACCCTACTGTGCGAGTCAAGTGTGGATTGTTGTGTAAGTGACACCAAAGGTGGTCTGTCGGTCCACTAAAATCAGCTGGCGTCCCGCGCTTCGGTGTTGAAGCTAATCGGTCTAGAGATGGTATAAATGCCCTTTCAGTGCTATCTGAAATGTGGACGCTTCTGGCACAAATCTCCTGCACAATTTCGTGTCATGCACTGTGGTATTGTTTTCCAGCTTTTCTAGCTAGCTTAGCAGCCATTCATTATTAATACGAGTGTTAGAATTGGCTACTTGTCTGCAAATTAAAAGGATCACATTAATATCAGAATTTGAAAAATCAGCATTTAAGAAAATGCTCCGGAGTTTCGGTCTGATAACAGCGTTATTTGTTGTCGTTCAATTAAAGTTCTCTTTAGCACTGCCAGATTCTATTCAGCCTACTATCACAACACTTCAGAGATTGGGACACTAGCGATGGATTCTTCAGTTCCCTTGGTGCATGTCTCGGTTGGGTGTTCCGACGGTATCTCTGCCTTGCAAATCTTTTTATGACGCAAAGACAGCAGAGCTTGCAGCAAAGTTGCAGGACAAACAACCGACACCTAATTACTTTAGGATATTTCAGTGGTTGGTGCATTTATGTAGATCATATTTGACGATGTGCTTTGATGGGTTGTATGCCGCACATTGTTGTTTGTAAAAATCATCATAACTGGCTACTTAAATGATGTGCATACCACGTATCCTACATCAAAACACGTATCATCAGATGAAAATTCTCATAGGGAATCTTTTACGCGTGATGCCCATGCACCATTGGCATGACAGGAGATTTGGGATTTAATCAAATTGCAATGCCCATCCATTTCACCTGAGTCTGTAACGATTCGCTGCCACATGAGAACGCATCCAACCTGTTTTATGAATATCACAAAGACCAGGAGGTACTCGATGGGATATTTCTACATGCTGGTTCGTATTAATAACAGTATGGCAAGCTGTGGTGCATCTCACCGTGTTGGACTGAAGGTCCTTAATATATAAGATCTTGTTTAGCGCACTCGTTCAACACCATTTAGGTGCCCTGGGTGTTCAGTTTCTTAATCCCTATAACTTATTTCAGATCACTTTATATTTGTGCTTGAGGCAAAATGCATTAGATAAAATTGGCAATTATCGGTCTGTTTTATTGATAAAGTCTGGTTTTCCGTTTTATCACTCTTTCAATCAGTCGATTGGCCTAAACATCCAAAAGTGGTTGTCTATATAGCGACAAATACACTCATTTGCAAATCAGTTTGATTTCCACGAGAGACTCAACTGTATCTCTCGTTTATGGTATTATTCAAGTGAATGTCCCGAAAAAAGACCACCGCATTTTTCATGGTGCGATATTCGAGAGGTCGCAGTATATTTTCATAAAGGAAACTAATCGCAGTGTTGCTGAAAACTCTTCGACAGCCCACATACTATTTCGCCTTTCTTGCTGCTCATCAGGTGGGCACAGTCCCCAGATTTCCATTGACCTTATGTTCTACTTGAACCTGAATTGGACTGATTCTGACCAATACACTCATTTATAAAGTGATTTGTTTTCTGAGGCTGAACCGAATCTCTCGTCAATGGTATTCTTCAACCAAACGTGCCGCACAAAGGCTGTCGGAGAGATTTCAGCAACCGCTGTTTTATTTATAGCCATCTGGACATGTGAATGCGGAGATCAGCAACCGCAGGACATTACATCATTACATCATACAGCAGTCAGGACAACGTAATCGTATGAAGCCTATTATTGATTATCCCTGCTTTTTTTAGCCTTGTACAACATGAAAAGGACACAGTTAGTCAACCCAGTATACAAGTATTGATGCCTGCTTTGAGAGCACATGAATTCAACGACAAAAGCAACATGAAACACACAGATTGAGTTCTGCCTCTTGGCAATATTCTGCTCAATAGTGAAATCTTTGTGTGCATTCCAAGCACGGTAGTGACGCCTGTAGTCCAAACACCTCACGCCTTCCTATAAATAAAGTGTTAGGCAATTAAACCTTTAACTTTCTCCAATTTTTCAGTCGGCAAATTATGGCATTTGTTCCTGGGCATTCTACAGTAGGGGCAGTAATAAATTTCCCTTTATACAAAACCCAGCACAAGTTTTAGTTTAAGGTGCTTGGTTTACCGAGGATCAAAGCTTAGGAAGGCGTGTCCGTTTTGTCCTATATTTCACATGATATATGCTAGCTTTGTGGACGTTGTATATGACTGAGTTGCACCCTCCACTTACAAACACCAAGTAGGAAGTAGAATGTTCAAGAAGGCCATCCAGATCAGCGAAATTAATGCCATCAATCGTTTGATCTTTTGTAAACTGTAGGTTATTCTTATGGTCTTTAAGTTGATACTAGCAGATAAATCCGAACTCTATCCACTTCTGAAATCAATTGATTACAATTATGCTTGCCAACGCGCCATTCACACTAGCAACAGTGTAGTGATTGTGTGGTTCTAGGAAGATGACTCATTTCTATCCTATACTTTCAACTTTACAGCATAGCTGATTATAGCGTTCGATATTTTATCAACCCAAAAATTGTTGGGTGAAAAAACTTCCAGAAGATAATCGAAACAGTTAACCATCAAAATAAACCTATTAAACAGTCTCATTTGATATCTGTCTCAGCTGATGGTTGCGAGAAATTTTTTTCGAAAAATTTCCCCAGCTACGTAAATTTGTACAAAATAGCTTTGAGAGGGTATGTGAGCGGAATCCCAGTTTGAGGACGCATTCATTAGGAATATTCAGTTACTCTCCAAAAAATTTAACGCTTCAACATAATTTAAGGTATGGCTATATCGACACCAAATTTTTCATAAAAGCCTTGTTGCACCTGAACATTTGGAAGTAATGAAGAGCCTGAAAGCTAGGGATGATGTTCTGTTAGCCCGACCAGATAAGGGCTCTGAGACGGTCTTTTTCTATCAAACTGACTGTGTAGAAAAGATGTTCTAAGAACCCTTCTGATGAGACAGAAGTTTTTGAACCCAGGAAGGACTTCGCAAAGAAAATGGAAGCAAAAATGACAGAATGTGCCAGTAAGGTATACGGAAGCCTCCGACCGACAGATATGAATGTCTCCCAATAACTTTCTGAAACTAAACTGCCAGTTGCCTCCCATTCACCGTTTTACGATGGGTCAAGAAAATACTGAAGCCCGTCAGAAACCGGTCATAAGCACCAAAACTACGCAACCCTTTTGAGTTCTAGTCTTTGTAGACCAATCGGAAGAAATGATTCTAAAATTGGGTATTAAAATACCCACTTTTATTCAGCGCTTTTTGTACACATAGATAAAGATGGAATGGTAATGGGCTGTCCACTCGGTGCCATTTTAGCTGGTGGTCGTATTACAAGTGACTGGACCGTCGACATTTCACTCCCGATATGTTGGTGATCCTTTTGTTACCCGCAGTTTAACAGATGGTTAATTTTAAATTTTAACTTTGCACATTCTGTGCTCAATCCTCCATCGAAGTTGAGTTTAGTTGTATTGGCCACTTTGTTGGCATTGCGTTGGGATGGCTGAGAAGTGGGGTATACTGCGAAATAACCTGTTCTGGTGGACACTGAAACTTTTATTGCCTCGTTGACGCAAGCGAAATCTTGCTAGGTGTCTGTCGAATAAGCACACGCAAAAAAACGTATAAACATATTTTTATGAACACATGTTTACGTGTTTACAAATTTAGCCAACTGATGAGATTTTGTCACAATTGCTGCTCATAAAAATTATGTTGTGACGAATCGTGTGTTCATAAGAGAATGTAGTTGGTATAGATTTTAAACCGAAATCTGTCATCGTAGCGACCGCTTATTTCCGTCTGAAATGGTAAAATTCGCATAAGCAGTTGTTCGCTTTCACCAGGGTTTGTCAAGAGGTCGTGCCTTCTGTGGATCTTCACAGGCTCCAGATTTGCTGAATCCGCCCATGCTGGATAGGATAATATTTTTTGTGTTTGGACCATCATACTCGGAGGAACAGAGTGTCTCAAGACTGTTGCTATTGTGCAGCCAATTTGTTTACTCATAAAGTTGCTACTTGGTCGGGCCAGATAATCTAACCTACTGGAAACATCAGGGGGCTTATCTTAAGCAAGTAAACAAAATACTTTTTTTCTATCCATCTGTTGAACTGTACCTTCCTGACATAAAAGTTCTAAGCCAGTTTTTACGAAGAGCATACAACTGTTCGTTCAGGTTGGTAATGTGGTGAAATAATGGTAGCTCGGGTGAGTTTATTGGTTGTTGACCAGGTGGCTGTTGATCTGTTCGCCGAGCTCGCAAACTTTTCGTCACCATGCGAGGACACATCATCAGTGCGAAGTTGGGTGTGTACTTCTTCTTTGCCTGCGTGTGTTTATATAGCATTCGAAGGCTGTCTGTTATCTTATGACATGATTGGATACTTGAAGGGTAACGAATTTAGTGAATCTATTGGTCCGTTTGTTATCTTTGTTGCGTGGTCTGTGTTCCTTTGCGTTGATTGGTTATCCCAAAGGCTTCTAATTTTAGCAGCTTGTTCTCTATGGCCTCGATTCACATTTGGTTGTGGTCTGCCGTTCTCGAGTTTGATTGGTTGCTTTTACCGTCCTATTTCCTCCACCTTGGCGGTTAGTGTCCCAGCGTCCGCCGGTTGATTTGGTGCTTTGATTGGGCGCTTCCTCCAATCCAATTGGTGTGTCCGTTTGAATGACGCTTTCCTGCTTCTCTTATGAGTTCCTCGTCTTGTCGCCTTTGCAGCTCTAAGCTCTGTGGTTCTGGCGTTCTCTCGCTCTTAGTGGCTGGTAAATGGGGTCAATTTCGTTGTGTTTGTTGATGGCTGCTTCGGTGGAGTACCACGCTTCTATAAATTCGCGTTCTCGTTTTGTTCTTGCTTGAGCCGGTATGCGAAAGCCGCTCCAGTCGAACTCGTGTCCTTCTTGATCTTTGTGTGCGTAGATGAGAGAGAATTGGTCGTGTCTTTTAGTGGCGAGTTTGTCTTCATGTATTCTAGTGGAGAGCTTCCTTCCTGATTATCCTACATACCGTTTGTCGCAGTCCTTGCATTCGATCCTGTATATGACATTTTTCTTCGCCGTTGGATCTAATTTCCCTTTTGGTCTTGATAGTGTCCTCCGCAGAGTATTCGTAGGCTTGTAGGCGAACATTGTATTGTGCTGTCGTAGTAGCCTTGCCGTCATTTCTGCGGTGTTCTTGATGTACGTAAGTGCGACTCGTTTGCTTGCATTTTGTCCCATTGCATCGATCGTATTTGGCTTCCTGAGTGTTCTCCAGATGAAATTCCTCGGGTATCCATTTTTCTGAAACAATTTGTATAGGCGCTTTCCTTTGATCTTGGATTCTGTTGTGCTGCAGTGTGTCTTGATCTGCTTGAAAAGTGTCCGAATACAGCTTCGTTTGTGGCAATTTGGACGGTTGCTGTGGTCGCTGAGGATTTGGTCCGTATGTGTCGCCTTTCTGTAGACCTCATTTTGTACTTGTCCGTTCAGCAATCTAGTGATGAGGATGTCCATGAACGCCAGTTTTTGTTGTTTTCTTCCTCGGTTGTGAATTTCATATCGTCGAAAACGTTACTTAACAGGTTGTCTTCGTGATGTACCTGTGTAAATGAGACATATACCTACGGTGCCTGTCCATCGTCCTGTGCTCCCTCTGGGTGCATGGTGTACTTAAAACGCACAGATCATGCATGCATTGTGCTTCGAATATGTTTCCCGGGCTCGAAGCAAGTTGTTTCGACACCATCGAAATCCTTGCTTGTAATACTAGTTTCGTCGAGGTTCTGTTGCTGTAACCAAAACCTCCCGCCTGAAAATAGAAAGCCTTCAGTAGATTCCCTACGGACATTGAAGGAGCTTAGCGTTTTAGAACAGCTATATATGACCTGAGTAGGTCAGTGGATTAGCCATATCATAACCATGCGTCTATGGGGTTACCAGCTGTTGTCACTACTGAAAACCGCCTCATTTGTATTACTCCAGCGCCATTGTTGGAATTGCTCAGAAGAGGTGTCTTATGAGGAAAATTTTGGTAGCTCAGGTAGCGTAGATGGTGGTCGTTGGCTTGTTCGCTGAGCTGGGCAATTCGATTGCAAACGTTTCATCACCAATCGAGGTGACATCATTAGTGCGTTATTGTGGAGCGTAGTAGTGCGTAGCGGTGGGTTGGTGGTTGTGCACAACTACCAGCGAACAAGCCAACGACCACCAGGTGTCTTATGAGTTTAGTACTTTTACTTGGAAAATTTCAATTCCCGAAGGGTAACAAAACTTTTACTGAATATATGTGAATACTTTGAATGAGCGCAAAGACACATTGCGCACAGCTAGAATGGGCTTAAAAAAGCAGACTTCACAAACAAGTAAATGTGAACTTTGGATTGTATTCTATCATTAAGATTGTAATATTTTTAGTCTGGTTGCAGGATACTGACTCTCTCACCAGATTTATGGGGAATGTTCTAGCGATCACATCTAACGTAAGGGCATTTTGAAACTACTTGGCCAAATTGTTGCCAGGTTTTTAGATAAAAGATCCAGTTTGGCTCCTTTGGCATATCGTAAAGGCATCTACATCACATGGGCGCATTACACATCACCCGCATACGTTGCTGATGGAGTATTTTAAAGCCTCTTCTTGAGGACGGTATAGGTTTTATAATGGATTCTTTTCAGCAAAATACTCAAATGCCGCACAACCATTTGTCCTCCGAGTCGAATTTAGTACTCAGTTTTATAAATCCTTTTTTCTGGAATACCATCCCTTCATTGTTTCGGCCCGTAACTTCTCCAAACAATACGGCTTTCTGAAATGCTACACTATCTGTGCAAATGAAGAATTCTCTGCAAACTTTGTCATGCCTTTTAACTTGTTTTTACCAGATTCACTAATCTTGGTCGTCCCTAACACTGACCGGAATTTGGCCACTCGGTTTCATAACTCAGCTTCATCAGTCAGACTGATAAGGCGGCCAACATGTGGGAGACCACTGGTTTGCCAAAAGTCACGCTCCTGTCCTGTCTGTGCAGAATGACCGAACTCCTAGTCAGGTAACGCCACGGTTAGCTGAAACCGGCTAGACTACTTCTGACTGGTTGTTGCGGGTTGAGGTATCTGCATACCTTGTATTCGTATCAGTCTCCTCTGTAGTCCTGGCGCAGTTGTCCTGGTTAGAAATATGAACAAGCGCACATTTTCCCCGTCAGTAATTATCAGTACTCAGTGTCCCTCTGTACGTACTCTATGACAGGAATCATATCGCAATCGATGGTCGCATGGGTAGCTGCACCAAGTAAACAGATGTTGCCTTAGCAACTGGTGCGCCTTATGCTGAACAGCACTTGCTGGTCAATGTTAAGTCAGTGACCTGAGGAATAAACTTCGAAAGCGGTATACGCATACTTTCCAGTGAATCAACTTTTCAAATACAGCCAAATTAGACATTCTTAATTTACAATTCAGACCAATTTTTTCTTCTGGTGTCCCTAGAATTCATTTCAGCGAACAATTTAGAAGTATGCAAAACCTACTAGAAGAGTAATTGGTCGTTGGCTTAAGGCATCTGATGGTGTGCGTGTGTGTTTAATTACGGGCCAGGCTCTAATAATTCCAGAAAGTATAGAGATTTCGAATGGTTTTGGTGGATGCGATCACAAAAAGGTTTGTACGAAAGATGGGGAGAAGATAAATGAACACTTGTTGAGCATGTGCCGGTCGCAATCACAAAGAATAGTCAAACACATCGAGATATTTTCAACCTTGTAAGAAAACAAGATAAGTTGTAGCTCACGATTCAAAGGTGACAGTGGTATGGGATTTTAAGTACATAATGCAGTGACATATAGTCAAGAAATTTGGGCGTTGTATTTATTGATTGTCGTGGCACATTTTTGAAGTGATTAATCATCTGATAAACAAAAACAATTGCCTGTTGTTCAATTGAGCCTCGTTTTTGGACAGTTGTACATTTATTCAGGCAATCGCACTACTCATCAATTGTACACTTCACTGCCTATCTTACATGGGTCTCTGCAAGGAACCAGGCCATGGGACTATAGTTGGATTAAGTGTACAAATGTAGGGTCGATTGTACTACTGTTCGACTAAACGTACTGCATGAAGACCACCTCACGTTTCATGTGAAAATGCATTTAGGGTATCAAAGTGTTTTCCTGGTCCAAGTATTTGTCAGAAAACTCAATTAGGAGGAAGACTTAAATATCACAAGTACCTTGCTAAATGAAACATACGATGGCCTTTGTGCAAAACACTCACTTGTCGCCTATAATATACAAGAGCTTCAGCTAGGATTCAGTTGCATCTCCCGTTAACCCCGAGTTTGTTTTCAGATGAATGTAGCTCCCCAACTGCGTATAATTTAGTACACAAATAGAACATTAGTTTCGGGGAAACTCGATACTGCACCTGCCTGATAACCCAAAGAAGGACAGAACATAACCTGGGTTACTTTAGCTTTTTTAGCAATCTTGTTTTATTGGTGTTATACCAAGATAAAAGCTTAGTTAGTTTTCAAAACCCCCTCTTTGCTCAAGGGAAGATTGAAGATGTCGCGTGCGCCTCAGAAGATGTTGATCTTGAGATCACAAGCCCAGGGAGTATACCTGTGCCTCTTATAATTACAATTTAATAGAGTTGATCTGTCGACACATATACTGTCAGTGGCCACATTCGAATCGTAATTATCTCGGTGCTGGTGTGAATAATTGATAAAAATGGGGCCAAATAACAGTTATTATTATCATAGTTACTCTATATATTTATTATTTATGATTATGATTCTTTAATTTTTTCCGGTCTTGAAATCAGGAGGATTCAAAACGATCCAGCCACAGTTTGTTTATCTGCCAAATAATTATGGATTTTTTATTCAGTATCATCATTTTCTTAACTCAAAAACAGTCATAATTAGCTGAATTGTATCGGGATTCAACTCTAGGTTGGTAAAAGCCTCTACTTCAACTTCAGAACGTCACCAAGAGTACTTGAAGTATCGCCGGTTAACAAGTTTACACCAAAACAGGCTTATCTGGATTCAGGACAACTTGTTTCGTCGTCCTATAAACTACGAAGAAATAAACGCTGCTCACCTTTTATTCAAGCTTCCAACAGAAATGAGGTCTCTTCCACAATCGCCAAACTAATACTAGAATGGCCGTTTAATAAACCAAGAGTTCAACAAAAATACACTGTTGGCTCTAAGATGGAAATCTTGTGGGCAACTGAACTCAGGATTTGCGTTTATGCCTAATGAATTTAAACATTTACAGCACATTCTTTAATGAGATATTCCTTACTTATTTCGTGTTGTCACAACTCTGTGGAAGGTGGCTATACTATAACTGCTTCCCTTTGAATAACCATTTGTTGCTCTGGCAGCGTCTAATGCTAACAAAAACCCAACTCAGTCGATTTCGACAGCATATCCGAAAAGACGAAATTAGCGAAGCTTTCGTAGATCCGAAACTTCTTGCAGTTATTGATCGCAGACGCCGTCAATACTATTGTGCCTACAGACCAACTGATTAAGGGTTCCGTATATCGTACCATATTTTGTGAACAGCAGGACGCTACGTACTTTGCAAGTTTATGTGATATCACTGATAAGTGCCAGTAAGTCTTCTTGGAAGTTTTTCACAAGTTGTTCAAACCATAACATGCTGTTTAGCTTTTCGGCAATGCACTCTCCATCCTAGTATTTCCAGCCTTGGATAATCACAGCGTTTGTGAAACGTTCAGTATGATGTGCATCAGGAAACCGACAAAAAGGTCTCCAAAAACGAAGTGCAAATGACTTCTCAGTAATACTTAAAATAACTAAGGTGGACCTATATCCTACTAACCGGCATTTTCTATATCGGTTTTACACATCCTTTAGTTTAAGCTGAGTACCAAGTCTGATAACCATTCTGCTCTGATTCGCTGCACAAAAAATTATCTGGACAAATTATAGTTGCCTTTTCATTTAGGCACTTGGTTAGAGTTTAATTCCGTACCGTGTGGCAAGATTCCCAAGGTAGCCCATGTAAGTTTTTGATATGCGACTCTATACTGTTCCTTCCTCTTGCCTTATAAAGCTTGTCAAGCTTCAGTTCCATGGAAAAACTAAAGCTGGGTTGGAATGATCAAGCGATTTGTTCAGTTGTGTCATTCATTTAGGCTAGGAATAAATGCTTGGCAAGTATCGGATCGTTTTTGACCGTGATGTGTGACTTATTTTTTTTACACTGACCATACCCGCAAGAATGGAACCAGATGGAGATCGGAAGGTAACTCCGTCTTTTTTTAGTACTCTTTATTTTTAAATCCAAATTAAACGACTAAAGTGCAAATTTCTAATAGTGCAGCGAGAATATCAACACCTCCACTGCAATCATCAAGGGTATCTTTGTAGCTTATTGTTTCTTTCAATAGCACGTTGGTAAAGAACAAGGCGGCATCATGCCGGTTAAAGATCTTTAAAAATGTCGATAAACAGTGAAGTCTGGAACTTCTATTCTTACCATGCAGTAGGTTAGTTAGCTAAAGCAATTTAACCAAAAAAGATTGACGAAGAACTCAGCTCGCAATGTAACATTGGTGTGGCCAATATAAGTTTCGGTGGAGATGCCAAAATATCGCAACAGACTATCGTATCACGTTGTGTGATCCCCAAGTGACTTATCGCTGTGGGTTTCCTGCAGCGAGTTTCCTCCGTCTTTATAGGTAGGCAGTCAGAGTTGGTAATACTAGCTCGGCTGTTGTTGGTCTCCGGTAACGTTTAGGCAAACTGAGTTTGGAGATATCGAGAGCATTTTCACTTGGCTGCATTTGCTTGAAAGAGTTTACAGTGTCTCCTCAAGTGTCTCACTGTCTTCATTGCCTACCGAATAGGAGGAATGGAGGAGAAAAACACTTGGGGGGTTTAAGCGGCCCGCAGATATGTGTTTTATTTTGCACATTAAACTTCCAAAAACAATGTTTGCCTCAAAATTTCTTTGTCCTACTTTGTTTTATATGGAGATTATTGGTCCCTAAATAGGACGACCGTGCATGAGAGCAACTGCGATCTCGGTGAAAATCACAGGACGCAGCTTATTTTGACTCAGAATTGTTCACACGTTGTGACAAATGAAAATTTCCAGCTGGCGGAAAACTACCTGAAAACTACTTAAAAAGTTAAAAAACCAAATCAGTTTGCAAAACGGTGCATTTCGCCAATTTCATGCAATTTGGTTTCAAGTGAAACACAAGACTGACGGAAATTCGGAGACTGCGCTTAACTGATGAACACCAAGAAGGACAAAGCCGGTCGTGGTTTGTCGAAGAATTTTCAGTATCCAGATGAGTAGTGCATTACGAATATACATTTTTCGCGATATCTCGATTATCGGAGCGACCGAAACATGAGACGGACAGGTACAGCACATTCAGTATCCTGGAAACATCACAAATGAGAGAATCAGCTGCGTTCCAGACGGCTCTTTCGTAAAACCAAATTAGTTTGCAAATGAATGTGTTTCACTACTTAAAAACCGTTGCATCACTATGGAGACACTAGTACTAGGAATCACAAATAGTGGTCTCTTCCGAGCCGGAATTCATCACCGAAATACACTTCACCAGATTAACTAGAGTGGATTAATTCTCCGTATGGGCGAACAGTTCATGGAGAACGACAAGTTCGAACTTGACTCGTAGTAACTCAACCATGTCTTATCTAAGACAGTGTTTTTCTGGTTGAATAAAAGAGTCAGAAGAATGAGGGAGTTTTCGCTTGTAAAGCAAGCGCACTTCAAGGTGATGAAAGTCAAGCCACTTATTGGTGGTGCTTGTGAAAGTGAGTGAGATTACTGACTAGACTGTACCACCTTTATATTCCTTACAACTGTCAAGTTTGTTTAGCTTATTCTACCGAGACAAACATATCCCTTTACATCTAGACTTCGTCCAGCTTGAGTGGTATTCTTTAGCACTAAATTATTGTTGAGGTCCATCTAGAACAGTGGCACAAAAAGGGTAGGAGGCGTATCACCTAGTTTTTAAATATCTTTATAAGAAGTCAAAATCGTGATATCAGGAATGTGCGTTTGTCTTTCCGTATCCTTAAACCCACTGTTTGAACGCACTGGTTGGGGGACAATCACTTTCTACTAATGTATACCAAGTCATTGTTCCACGAAATAAAACTTCGTAATACGTTTATTTCTTAACTCAGGCAACTGTTGTCACACGTAAAGTATTTTAGGCTTACAAGGATGACAAAAATTTACCAACACTCTGGTTTGCTCGCGATAAACCTAGGATATTTTGGTATTGGAGTGAACCAAGCCCGCATTGGTTAAATTCTAACTTTTCCTCCCGTTAGACATTTTGTTAGTAAAGGTAAAACAATGACATTTAGTGGGAGCAAAACTGAGCATGTTTCAGTTGCACAGTATATACGTGAGGCAGAATACTAAAAGAAGCGGTCAACAGTAGTTACTGGGAATTCGGTCATTGACCAAATCAGCTACAGTGTTATATTATAAAGTGCCTTGTTACAATATAAGCGAATCTATTCCATGAGTTTATTGATATTTTTCGGTGAGGATTCCCAAACCTCAATCTTGTTAGAGACTACTTTTTTGTTTGTCAGCTGACATTTAGAAATGGTATGCGCATTCGTCGTTCATTTCAGCAGACAGTTTTTGCATTTTGTAATGTCAGATTTGGGTTCCGAAATCCCGAGCCGCTTTACTCTCGCTCGGTGCGAGTTTGGTCTAAAGTGCGTCGGTGCATTTTTTCGACAAGCTTCATATTTTCCTGCGTTAGACAATTTTGACTGATGTGGGGACTCTTTACCTGGTCAGTCATTTATTGAAATCAAAGTGTGTGTAAATACCTCAGAGCTGGCATCCAACTGTCATTCAGACCAGTGCACTTCGCGACCGAACCACAGGACAACCGGTATTCATCAGCAGGCGACATAAACCATCACAAATCACACATCAAGCACACAAAAAACGAAACGGTGAAACCGGGTATGGAGAAACAATCATACAACCCAATGATGCCTTTTAAAGTCCTTTTGAATCAGCGCAATACACTCATTTTCAGACAAATTTGGTTTTGAGACAGACTCATCTGGAACCAAATTTGTTTTTAGGTGAGTGTATTTCATGAACTTCGTGCAATTTGGTTTTAAGTAGAACAAGTAGAACGGAAACTCGGGGACTGCGCCTACCTGATTAGCCCCAAGAAGGGCAAAACTGAAGTGATCAAGCTTTTGCTCCTTGAAAGGGCTTAGCAAACGCAATAAACCATCAGGTTCCTTGTGGATTACACTGAAGGGAGAAAAATTGCATCAAAATTCAAAGAAAGTCCGAACCCAAAGCTCTAGAACGATTCATTAAAAAATAGAAGGCCAAACCGCAAGTTATCTTTTATCAGCTATAAGCTTGTATGTCTTCCTGCGCACACTTCTGTGTCTATAAATAATACATTTTTGACAATCGTTCGACTATTTCTTATTTTTATCGTAGAACTGATCTATTTCTATTTTCCTTTCATATGAGACTTATGAACCCTATGCTTTCTCTGTAGAATATGCATAATGAATACATAATTCAGTATGTACACTCTGGAAGCACCGTAGGGCAATGAGTCTCCGAAGGTCGGTGTTGACGACAGTTTCTGTCGACGATAAACCCTCATGAGCCAAAGCCCAGCAAGCAAGGATGTAAATCGCCAATAATTACTAAAAAATAGCCAAGATGCCAAACAATTAATACTTCAGTAGTCCTCAGGAATGTGTCAAAACAAGTAACATGCGTCGGTATGTTCTCTACTGGCACGGCCCCTGTAAAATTCTGTTTGTCTATCGGTTGAGAATCCGTACAAGTATCCATCTTGAACAACTGTCATCTAGCTGAATTAGTTATTTTTGTCGTATAGATTGCTTGCTTCAGTAATTATCGTCTTCATCCATCTGACCCGCTGTAGGCACACAATCTCATTCTGTCTGTCGTAGGAAACAGCAGGGTGAAATGTTAGCGGGAATTTCCTCGACTGTGTGGCATGCTGCAAAATCCGATGACAACAACCCGAGGACGACAATATTTGATCGATCAGCTGACTCGCAGCCACTAAAATCGTAAATTCGGTTTGGATCGAACAGTTTGTCAGCAAGATTCTCCCATTTCACAACTGGCACGTGGGCACGCGTTCAATCACGCAGACGTACACAAACACGCGTGTACGCGTGTATCCATAGTCTAACGACCAAACGTGTGGTTTTCCTGGACGGTGCATACGCGCGACTGTCGCTCTTGATGTCAGCCGGCAGTCGGGTGAATTCCTTACCGGTTAGTCAGTTCTGATCCCACAGTGAATTTTTGGACCATTTGGCCAATCAGGTTTCTTTGGTGTTGTTGAAGCATGGACTGACCAACCGAAAATCAGCTGTTACCGAAACACGTGTGTTCAGACTGTATAATTAGCCTAACAACAGGTGAACAGTGCTCACAAGAACCTGAGTGATACTGTTGTACTAAATTTTGATCGGAATTTGGTGAGTCGGTGTACTACTCCTGTGGAATATTCTTTATAGAATTTTAAGGTTAGATTTTTATCAGATTGTTTCTTTTGCGCTTATCGACCCATGTAGAACGGAGGTGACGTTTACGATGAACCTAGAACACAAGAGCTCCAAAACGCATTCCGAGCGCTTCCAACAAATCAACCTAAAAATATTATGGTATGACTGCAGCAGGTTAATAAATGCGTTAGTTTCTGAGACTACACTAACATTTATGACAGTATCCACTAGCTATCAATGAAAATTCCATAAAATCAGAGTGAAAACTCTGCGCAGTCACACAGGAGTCCGCTCGTCAAACAAATGAAACTGTTCACTTTTCACATAATTACTTTCCGTTGTTCTACCGGATGGAGCGCAGCTAGTTTGTAGCTCATGCACCGGCCAATTTCGGCTATTTCAACTCCAGACAGAAAAGCTGTGTGTATATCATCGACCGAAATGTAACGATGGTCTCAATATTTCTTGAGGAGGATATGCTTGCGGAAGAGTGACATACTGTCCCATCTTAGTGTTATTTGTCCAGCCAGAGGAGAATTACCTTAAGATAGGTGGACCGACTAATCTGCCAAGGTCAACTTACATTCCTATCATGTAGCACGCAATTTAGTTAACTGTAGTTTTCTTTTGGTCTTTAAGATGGTGTACACGACATAAACGCTTGCAGACCAGACTTTCGTCCAAATTTTTTCCAGTATACTCAATTCTTGTATATCTGTTAGAGCTCTATAATCCCACTGCTCACACCTGAATGTCCCGCCAGGATTTATCTGTTCCATGGAATCCTTATTCCATCATCCACAAATCTGTAATGAGGAAATTAGTGGGGCCTCTTTAATCTTTTGTTGTCGAGCGTCTCCAGGGTAGCACTTGAAACTGGGAGTTTTCTATACTTCATTTGTATAAAGACCTCATGTTCTACCAACAGTGGAGGCAAGAGTTTTAACCAAAGTTTATGATATCGCTTAGGTTGAAAATCGAACAAAACTGAAGAGCACCACCCGAGTGTTCAAATACCTTTAAGTAATTCAGGGCGCATCATCGTGAAAAGTTTTTTTATGGATTGTGTGCTTTGATACGATGACTGACACTAATCGTTTGACAGCAGTAGAGAATCTGTTTTGAAAACTCCACTCAGATGAATGCTTTTCTACGCAGTAAGCAAACCCTACTTACCACTTCCGCGGACCGCACTCGTGAGAAAAAACGATAACTCGATGTAGTCATTGGTGATCCTGTGGATCGTGGCCATAAATGGTAACAATTTTACACTGTGGTGGGTCCCGTTTTATTCGCTTTCAAATTATTCAGCATTTTCAGGACAAGAAGATCATCCTTTTGTAGGAAGATTCCGCATATAAAACCGATTTTGAAGGCCCTGTTGATCCGGCTGCTTACTGGTTACGTTCACGACCCAGGAACCCCATAGCGCTAGGCTAAAGTCTTGGACAGATATCATCGTTTGCTTTTCATAGTAACCTGCAAACGTTCAGTTGACCTTCAATGTATTTCAAACTACGAAGCAGCCTTGGTTAATTAACTGCTATATGGGATCAGCTGATTCCGAAGTAGAAACAGGTTCATTCAAAAACACTACTTTGATATTACTATTATTTTTAGTATATTACTATTATATTACGTTGATAATGTTCCTGATACAATCTCTTCACTTTATACAAAAAACTATTGGAGTTAGTTATTTGGCTTCTGGCTAAGAAATATGGCTTATATAACGGCCAAGCCTGAAGCAAAATCACGGAAATGTCACTCCTAAAAATCCAGGGCAATATTGACAGGCCATGTGGTAAAGCTTGCCACTGGTTTATTCGGTGACTTGGAGAATTTGGTTGCGAACTCTTTGTTACTCGTCTGGATGATAGCCTCAGGGCGTTGTGAATGTAATTAGGTGAGTGTTTCAGGTATGTCACCGCTACTGGTGATGTAAATTGTGTGGCCAAATTATCCACCTCAGCTCTACCGGAAGTGTAAAACTTTGTCATGATCACTAGAAAAACACATTCTTAACAGTTCGAGGAAAATATCATTTTGTTTATGAATGATAGGGACTATCTTTAAGTCAAACAGACCATTAGCTCATCTTTGCCGGGAGAATCTTCTCCATGATAACAGGGTTTTATTTTTATGTTTTCAAAACAAATTTCAGGTCTCAGTCCAGGCAGAGCCTACGTGTACAGTGTTTCCCGAGAAACATCACTTTAATCCTTTAAGCAAAAGATAAAATATCCACTCAATACCCATCAGGAATATCCCTCTTAAGCCGCTGCACGATATTGATTGAAGCGATGTGGGCTTCTTCAACGGCAAGTTGACAACCAGTCGATGTGTCTTAGTTTGTATTAGAGGAGTGGAACTCAGTGAATCTCTATCTTCTCAGTGAAGGAAACAACGTCACGGTCACAGATGGGGTTCTTATGTATTGAGGATGTGGCCCCCATCTGCATTTTCATTTCTTAAGGCAAAATGTTTCAGCCTCAATTACTGAGGAGCTTGAAAGAAGTGATACGCACGATTTGCTACTCCTCAGACTGTTTATTGTTGAGACGAGATGCGCCGTTTGCATTGTACGAATTTAGGAGTGTTATCTGTAAAGGGTGGGCATATTCCGCAAAGACGATCCCCCGGGTAAGTGGAGGTGATCGCCTTTTGAAATCCCAAGTAAAAGAGGGAAACTATAAATACATGCTCACCTATTGCTGTTAGACTACTGGCTACGTATGCAGTCATGAATTTATTATGCCACTTGTGAAGTGGTAGAACAGATCTTGCAGAGTTTCTGTCCAGCCATAAATAGTAAAGCCGTGAGCAGGTTTCATCACCGTAGGTTGTATACCATAGGTCCTTAAAAACCATCTACCAAAACTTGTGTGCTCGGTTGCACGCATGCCGAGAAAGCAACAGTCTAAAAACAGGAAAGTGAACATAAGTTGAAAGTTGAACGAGTGCCTGCGTTTCTGGCAGCCGTGCCATCGTCGGATACACATCTGGTTCACTACCTATATGTAGGCTTTGACAAGAACCAAGTCTCCATCAGGTGTTCGCATTGGGTATGACTGAGTAGAATTTTAGAGACAGCAGTTTTCTAACTTTACGACACTGATACAAGCGCCCTTAATAGCGCTTGCATCCAAGCTATTGCCTTCAAGCATAGCTCCCACAGATACCTACCCCCCCCAAATCATCGGTGAACGAAACTGCGGCAGCTAAAACCACTGTACGACGAGTAATCGGTTATTACAGCTGACAATGATGATTATGATGACTGAAACGAGCTGTCCCTATCTTTTGAAATCAACAGTTGCACTGCAGTTTCTTGTAGAGTTAGGTGATACTAATTTCAAAGCCCCCAGTTTATCACTTCAGACATTCCTTTTGACTGAAACGCCCAAGAAGTTGACAAGACTCTTTTACTTAGCTTCTCAAATGGCCAATCAGCTTTTTTCATGTTATATAATGTTTTTCATCGAAAATATAGTCGAGGTCTACCTATTCGAATGGGAATTAAGTAGCAAAGAACAAGGTCTATTAGTTCCACTGTCAACACTAAAATAATGTCTTCGTAATGGTAGACAGGGGAATTACCGTGTTGACGGCATTTGATCCATTGGACACTGCTGAATGAGCAAGGTTTTGCTATGGATTACAATATAAAGCTGGAGGCTTAACTCCCGTATACTATCAAAAAGAATGCGCATGTGAAAACCAGTAGGAACGACAGGACAGGGGAAATAGTTGCGGCCTTTTCCTCATCTTGTCTCCACATTCACGAAACATGAATGCGTTGAGTTTGTTCTGGGCACACTGGTTACAAAATGACCAAATGAATGCTGGTAAGGGCAGGCATCAGAATGGAAAATTCTGCAGCATGGTATCAACATATGGCTCCTGGACTAGAAGGAGTCGTGTTTTCGCCCCAGAGAGTCCAAGAATTACCACAGTCATACAAATATAAGGCCAAATAACTAGCCAACTATATCCGTCTTTCAGGAATTCACTGAAACCACTGTTTGTTTAGTTGGAGCCAAAGGCTGTTTTCCATAGGGTTGCGTTATACGCCAGGCGGTTCGGCCAAGTTTGTGTACGGTTACCTTTCGGCCCGTTTTACCGGATGTCAAAAGCCTGAATAAGTTTTTTCGGGCACTTTTCACTGCTCACGTAGCCACCCCGATAACCGATTTGTACTGCGGCTGGTAGGTAAATAAGTCATTTGCCTAATGTAACTCACCCTAAGTGAAGCGAAAGCGAAAAACTCAAGGTTTTCAGAGTTTGGACAGAGCTTGCACAATCTGGCATAAATGTTTATACTACTGATGAAATACGCTAGTAGCAACCGGTCAATCGTTAAAGCGCCGTCCATGCCTCTGATGAATGGTTGTTCATTATTGTTCAATGTTTAGACAGTGTCCAGGAAATTTCTGGGATACGCTCAAAGATGTTGATTGTTCAGAATCGTTGTGCAAATGAGATTTTTGCCTTCGTTTGCGTAGTTTGTGACAGCTTATTTCGTGTTATTCTCGCCGGCAGCGCCCACAGATTAAGTGGCAGTGGTTTTAGTTAAGGAACTGCGTCACAGGTGTGACCCAGGTAATGTTTGATCCAACCGATACTTTCCGCTCTCCTTTGGAATTCGGTATCCAACGCTTGATTAGCCTATTTTCGAAATAGGTTTGTTGCTAATGTAATAAGCTCTCACAAATTTTGGGTTGTATTTAAGAGCGAAGAGGGATTTAACAAAACAGGTCTGTCCAATAAAACAAGCCACCACTCGGGCGTTGGGACAGTGCTCACAGACATGCCCTTCTTTGTCAGCGGAAATTGATCAAAACATGTATTTTCCATACATGGAGGCAGTGCGAACAACTCTCCAGTCTGAAACAGTCGAACCAGTTTAACCGCAAGAAATGTCTTTAGAAAGCTGGGTGGTATTTTAATCGCTCTTATATAAACTGAAAATATTTTATGCACTTGTGAGCACATTTGACAAAAGCAGTTCACAAATTCTCACCGGAGTCGGACGTCGATGAATCTTATTGTTTGACTTGGATTGGAAACAGTCGGCTCAAACAAACCACTTAGCTATGCACGATGGATGATCGCAAAACAATGGATGGACGTCCTCTAAATTGAACTCCCATTTTCTCATCGCTTCATCGTGAGTTCGCTTCAAGCCAACTGGAAACTGCTTCGCTTGCCCGTGAACTGACATCTAGGTCACGTGGCCGTTCCACTTGTTTGATCCTGGATAATGCATGATCACAGTCACGTGCTCAGATATGGAGTAATGCTGAGCTCACCGAATCTCAGTTACTTTGCATTTCTTATCATCGTGACGAGGGCATCTGGCCAACGCACTGCAGTGCGCATACAGATGCAACCAGAACAATTCGGAAACGTGTGCAGTAGTGCAAAAGTACTTCAGCACATAATGTTTACTGATTTCAACATCAGCAGTTTTTGTTGCCGACACTGAAACGAAGTTAAATCACACTGTTTGTAGCCATGACACTTTGTTTCCCTCTAACCATGGTAATTATTAACCACTGTTCAGAATGACCGAAAAAGCTGCACTGTATCGATCAAGTTTCAGGACTGATACTGTGAACCACTCTTTCATTCTCCGTGAATCTTGCATAAACAGTACTACCCGTGGTCACATCCGTCCTACTTTGTGAATCAGATACACGGTGGCTGCATGTGGAAGATCAGTGAGGTACGCTAAAAGGTTTTCGGGAACGTTCACTCTCTATCGGTAGATCAGCTGGACGCACACGACAAATTATGGTAATCAGGCCAGTATGTCAGATGACTGTTTGCCTCGTAAAGCCCTCCTTGAGCAGCCTTGTTCGGGATGGTGACAACCCAAAGGTGGTCAGTTCCTACATTGGCAACGAGACATGAAAGCCCTTACCGGGCGACTAAGTGGCTTGGTAACAGCCGTCTCTGCAACTGGGGAAAGCGGGACGAGACAGGCCAATGGCTGGTGACCCTGACAGATTTTACTGCTTCGCGCCAAAGCTATCGAGTTCATTGTGAAGCTACCGCACTCTGCCATACCAGACAACCAGAACCGCCATATTCAAGTGAGTTGATTGGACCAGCGCTTCCGACGCACGACTCTCCTACCCTTATTTTCCTTTAATTCGGTGAACAATGCTACTTCAGCTGGAGTCATCGCACTTCGGTGCATGGTTTGTGACTGAACCCGTTGGTTGGTTGGACTGAACCCGTCAGGGCAACTGACAATCCTGCTATTTTATCAGTGCAATGTGCACAGGCACTGTAGTACACAGGAGTTTAGGATGCTTAGACTGGGGTGATAAAGATGGTAGTCTGGTAGATACCTCACTAGGTACCTTTAAAAATCAAATATTGCCCTTTACCGAATTAAATTTCCTTTTTGAAGGATGTATCACTGTTCAAGCTCTGCATCGGCTCATATAGTGTGATATTTTCCAGGTAATCGAAAACCTCATCTGAGAACTCAACTATAGTCCTGAACTACCAAGGTATGTTGATTTCTTGTTCATTCTTTCGATTATTTTAACTTCCTGCCGTCAAAACGGTCTAAAAACGTTTAGGTTTTTGCTTTTTTGTTTTCAAGATATTGCCCCAAATGAGCATTTGAATTTGATAATGCCCGCACCAACAACAAATTCTGGTGAGTCACCCGATTTGTGTTTACCTCCTGAGCTTTATCGTCACTGTTTCTTTTGCAAACATAATTTGAACCCAAAAACTCCGGAAGCAGTGATTCATCAGAGTGGGACTCATAGACCTAGTATCGCCTGACCAAACTTTGCAATCGGAAATGAACATGCATTATGTTTCTAATGGGAACACTTCCTTGCATCATCCTGCTAAGCAATATAAAGCTTTGAAAAGAACTTTCAAGCACATTGTTGTGAAAATAAATTTACTATAGGAAGTAAGGTAGTAAAACTATTACTTCCCTTGCTTCATTTGCTAGTTTTGCTAGTAGACTATGAATATTGTTCTTTAGATAGGAAGGGTTGGGTTTTGAGCTACAACAAGTAACTCACCAACTTGTATACTTTGGCCTACTTTGAATTCCACTCTCTAACAAATTAGGTTAGTTCCCATTTTCGATGCATGAACCGTAGGCGTTTGTCTGGATCTATATGTGATGAAGCACGTCCTCGGGCTTTCAGACGTTTTCGGCACCACAATGTGACCAGGCTAAGATCCGGGACTCATTGTCATGATCACGTCACATTACATCACAGTACATTATCGTGAACCAGATAATTAAATTATCCAAAATGCAACAGGAAAACAACAGGATCAGTGCAACAAAGGGAACTATCTATGAGCAGCTGAGGTGGGTAGCACAGAAATGCCATATTACTGTTACGTTTTTTGGACGAATTCCGCCAGTTCAAATTCATGGTACATAATTGGCGGTTTTCGGAAACCTATGAAGACAAAACCCCCCTCAGGTGAATCGTCCGCAAACGGAACACATCGTACATCTCCTGACAAGCTGACTTGGTAGATCCCTACAGCCGGTTGGTTTACCAAATAGTTGTGAGATGATATGCATTGCTAGTCGAACGATGTTTTATCGAAGTGACTTCCCTGTTTACCAACCATATACCCGAAAAAGGAAAAAAATATGTCGAACAACATAGATTTGGTTGTTGGAATTTCTACTGAGGGCCTTGAAGAATCGTCACTGATGTGGACTGAAACAGTTGATTTCCGGCCAGAGGCGAACTTTTCCAATAAACAGTGAAAATGAGATCATGAACATGACCTCTAATCGCACCGTTGTCACAAACCGACTGGAGGACAGTGAACGACTGACGATTCAATTATATTTTTTGGTTAGGCCGACAGGATGTTCGGCCCTATGGATGATCATGAAGACAATCGCTGTGGCATCAATCGTGCTCACTGCAACATTGAGTTCATGCAGTAAACATAAGAAAACTGTTAATTAGACTTTCGAATTTCCACGTAGCACAGACACGTGGAAGGTGAACTAAGAGGGATGTGTTTAAAAAACCCACCTGAAAAAGCCCGTAATCTCGTTTGGGAAGCTTCAGTTTACTTAATATAAACCTCACATGGTGTGATACTGACCCAACATAGCCAGAAATACATCCAAGATAAGTGCAGTCTAGGAACAACTGGCGTCAGGTTATTGCCAAGATTTATAAAGCTGCGTACGCCTATGTTTCCTTAGATAGCTAAGACATTTCAGATCCAGTCTGCATGAGTGCATGTATAAAACAGAATACAAATACAAATGGACCTTCGAGAAATACACTCATTTGCAAATCAATTTGGTTTCCACGAGAGACTCAAACTGAATCTCTCGTGTATGGTGTTCTTCGACTGAATGTGCTGCACAAAAGCTGCCTCACGTTTCAATTGTACACGTGTGGATTTCTAGAAATCAGTCCAATTTGGGTTTAAGTAAACCATAGGGTTGACGGAAACTCTAAGACTGCACCTTCCTGATGAGACCCGAGAAGGGTGAAGCAGGTCGTTGGCTGTCGAAGAGTTTTCAACATCCTTGTGAGTAGTTTGTTTTATGAGAATATACTACAATATCTCGAATATCGTGCCAACTGAATCATGAGGCGGTCTGTGTGCAGCACATTCAGTTGTAGAATATCATAAACGAGAGATTCAGTTGAGTCTGTCGTGAAAACCAAATTGATTTGCAAATGAGTGTATTTCTCGGAGGTTTGCTTTATATTTGTATTGCTTTATACATGCACACATGCAGACTGAATCCGAAATGTCTTAGCTATCCAAAGAAACAGGTGTACGCAGCTTTATAAATCTTGGTCATAGGTAAAGTATTGCAGCTGACATCTAGATTTGTCCTCAGCTACTTCCTTAATTCCGTGCGTGCGCAATGTATCAGAAGCAGCCGAATAAAAGGGATGTGAATTTGAAATTGATGGTTAGCGTGCTTTGTGTTTCAGGGTGTTGGTGTACGCCCTGGTTCTATTTACAGAGTTTCAGTTAACAAGCAAATCGTTTCGGGGACAAAGTAAATGGTGCGTTCCAAATAGATAGAAATGACAGTTTTGTAGCTGTTCTTCAGAAACCGACTTAGCAACCCCATTCTTGGCGTTCACTAGTGTCACGCTGGATGCGAACGCACGAGAAAAACAGTTTGTTGTAGCAAGGACAGATGGTGAACATTCAGTCAACTGAATTCAACGTTCTTTGAAAAAAAAACACCCATTGTTCATTGAAGCGACATCCGTTGGTTAGAGTTCTTTGCATTCAGTCCTGGTCTGATAAGTCTATTTCTAGCATAGCCCGTTTATACGGATGTTCTTACTCTGCAAAAGTTCCTACTTGAAGTTGGAAGTCCACTTGTGCGTTAGGGTGACAATGCTAGCTGGGGTTTGATGACAAATCCCAAATATTTCACTACATTCTATAGATTCCTTCAGTGTCAAGCTATGCAATGATCGTATTGAGCTTCCTTAGCTGTCCGCAACTATTCACCAAGGTTTGGTTTTCGAAGGACAATCGCCGACTTCCTGCGTTGTTCACACCTTAGTGGAAGCATTTCCATACAACACATCTGTAACTATCCATCTATGTATTAATCATTCACAACGTGCTTTCAGGCCAGTCTTGGTTTTTCTCTTGTTGGTACATTAGCCCCAGCAATTTAGGCAATGAGATTGCATTTTTCACACCTGAACAGGTGGGCCAAGTAAATAAATCATGGGTATTTACATCACAGATTCATACCTGATCTGAATTATGTAAGTTTTATGGGCTTAAACACAGTAATGTTCGGAAATCGCTTCTGATCACGGCCTCTATGCACAATAATGTGTAGCAAGGGTTGCCATGGTGACTACCGTTATCATTCCCGTTGACTCAAACGAACTTGTTGAAAACATGCTGTTATAGCTACTGGGGATAAATGCCTACTGCTGACCTGTCAGGTAGTGTTTGGATAATTGACTATTTCAAAACTGGGGTTGCGGTGACAAATGCAGGTGGACTGAATCTTCGAATCATTCCTTGGATCATGATGGATTATGGCTGTCAGTCATAGCCTTAATATAGTTTGGCTAAAATAAGTCGTAGTGAGGACCTACAAGACAGTCGCAAATGTTTCAAAGCAACCTGTTCCTGTTTGAACGTTAGAATCATACTCATTAGTTGTAACTGATATAATTACGGGTAAAGTGATGTATGCTTTTAGTAACTTTGAAATTATTACTTGCCGCAGCTCACGATGTCCCCATAAGGTCAAAAAAACGACCTTCCTTCTCAGTCAAGGGGACACGGCTCTGCCGACAGGCTTATTTTGGGTTTCCGTTAAGCTTTTCACCATATATATTTTCAAAGTTGAGTGATTACTACACACTGAACGTATAAATCATTTTATTGTGTAAACTCGTATGAGCTGCGTTGGTATTCCGTAGCCGGCCGCTCCAGATGTTTGAGGATGAATGGAAACGCATCCGGCAAGCAATCAGATTTTAATGCACTGGTATGAAACTTGATCACATGTTCCGTAAGTTCGGGCAAGTTTGTGGGCTATGGTTCACTGATATGACTCTCATTAAAACGACCGGTTTTTTAGTTGTCGTGTACTCTTTACTCTGATGCTTAGATATCGTAAAGGTCTTAGGCATTCTAGCTACCCTGTTCAGGAAGAATGACAGAAGGACTGAAAACATTCCGCAGACTGACCTCAATTATGTATGGCAATCGATTCACTTACACGCACGTCGAGATAAAGTCATTCATTTGGCCAAACCTAATTAACATTGCTGACTATCTTTGTTCTGTCTTGACAACCAGTCTGTTCCACGCATTTGTTAATCGACCGAAGCGCTTCAATGAGAGAATTCTCAAGGAAATTCGCTAACGAGAAAGAATGACATACCCACTGTTTTATCGTGAACGATTCCAGACAAGCCTGGACAACAATGTAAACCAGTAAAAGCAGTTATGACTAGCAGATGAAAATTATGACAAATATGTTAATATGAGATAAAAAAGCGCTTGTATTCCTTCAGCAATCAACGCAGAGTATGTTCAAGATAGTGAGATGCCATTTGGATGACTGACTGCCCTAATTTTCTTCTGGTGAACAACAGTAGCAAAATATCTAAATTCCAAATAAAATCGAGTTCAACTTGTACGACTCTAAATGCATAATGAAATTATAGGCAGTGACCGACCACAAATAGGACTGAAAAATATGTCCCGGCCATGAAATGACGGTGCGCTGTACTAAGTTGATAAAAATAATGGTCGTTTAGGATGGCCAATGAGATCGCCTATAAACTGTTGAGCATCAGATGTTTTAGGGTGATCATTACTGGGCAAAGTTTATAACTCCACCTTTAAGTGTATGCCATCCTTATGGGTCGAAGCCCCCAGATGTAACCAGTCAACGGTTAGAGACACTTAGAAATGGCTCGGTAGCACCCTCGCTGGTGCGGATGCATCAAACTGTTGCTTTTATTGCATAGCTTATCCTCTAGATATCTTTTGTGAAAAGTTCAACAATATCTTTTATTGACGCATCAAGTATATCAGCTACCACCTCCAACGCGTAGTTATCCAGTCATACCTTCCTCGATCATCAGCGAAAAAAACCGCGGTTCACCAAACTGGCTAAATGCAATCCAAAAGGCTTCGGCCGCAGGACCTTACGGGGGCAAACCAATTAAAACTTGTACCCAGTAAACTAAGTTGCAGATGAGCTTCTGTCCTGTACATGATGGTAATGTAGGTCAGAAAATTGAGAATCACGGTACAAATGTTTCATCATTATTTGGAAGGATTAGCCATGGGCATCTCACAAAGGTCTACGAAAGATTCCGATTCTTAACCACCGGGGTAGTAGTTGATGACTCAACCGTTCGGCCGTGAGCGGCTGACCTGCAAATGATTGGCGTAGACAGGGTGAAGTGCAACGCGTTCTTCAACACCGGAATCTACGTCACCGGAGCACGTGAAAACCAGTTCCTTGATTGACACACTCCCAGAAAGCGCGACACTGTATCAGATCTAAGTGAGGGTTAATCGCACTGTTCATCAGCCACATGTGGCCGATTTTGGGGAGGCCTTAGTTTCAGGTCTCCATGGAGGTTCATGAGATTCATACTCCAGATTATTCATAACCACGATGAAACGACCGCACAGTGCTTCAGTACCTTTGAGCTTAGTTTAAATTTGCTTACAGGATGAAATTTTAACTGAAATATCTCAGTCTTCTTAGTGTTAACCAGCTGGACTACCGCCGAAAAGCCCCTTTTGATTAGCATTAATCAACCGACGAAGGCGAAACCAAAACGACATGTTTGATTCTGTTACATAATGCATTCAAGCAGGGAACCATCTCGAGTAACCTTTGTAACCTAAATTGTAAAAGTCAGTTAGTTGTGGAGCTACCACTGGATTGCCGTTAGGCGACAAAAGGTTTACAATGATATATAATGGTTTAGTTTTCCCATTTCCAACCTGTGCTAGAAGACCCAAACAAAATAACTATGTAGTGTTTGAGTCACAATTATCGTTTGTCATTTATCAAGTACCCTCCGAGGAGCTTACCAATGGGGAAGATGTTGAAACATTAAAGAAAGTACTAGCCCATGTGGATATGGAAACTGGTCTGAAACATCGCAGTAAGTGAAGACTTGGATGCCTTTGCACCAAACATTTACATGTATTGAAAAGAGACCAATTAGCTTGGCTGCATGCTCCGCAACAACCCTACAAGACAAACTTTACTTATGGGAATGCATGAAGATTGAGAAAATAAAAGTAAAACAACTATGTGCATGCATACATCCACGCGACGTTGTGTAAATCCATGCGCTAGCAACATTCTTACGGTGTGATACACACAAAAAATTATTTTGATGGAAAGATAGAATACGTAACTTTTTAGCATCGCGGTAAAAGTTCTTGAAATGTCCTTATTGTTGTACCCTTGTATTCCGCGAAATCATGACAGGGAAGAAAAAATGCATTTCCATTCGGTGATGCATCTACTCGTTGTTCTTATCTTGCCGAAAGTTCCCTACAGTGAAAATCAGCCTTCGCACTAACCAACTGCTAGAAGTGACATTTACCCCTTTAGAACGGTATCGAGTTTTGCGGTGTCCATCACTTGGAAACATGACTGTTATTCGTGTAAACAAAAAAGAAGTCCGAAGACATCTGTCTCTCCTGGCATTTTTACCTGATGCCGGTAAAACTATCGTGAGATTGTAAACAGATATATATTAACTAGTTCGTATCTAAGTAGGAATTCCAAAGCGATCCACTTTTTGGTTGAATAGTATCCCAACGATTTCTAGTGAAGGTTTACCTTCCTCGTGGAAAGTGAATTAAATCTCCACAGATAAGAGCAACACGCGGCATTTGTTTCAAGGTGAATGCTAGTATCATCGACCAGAAACCTTGCGGAGAATGATACATTCCAGTGCTTGAAAATCAGAACTCATCCGTACGTAATTCACAAGCGCATTTTCAAAGTTTTTCTACTGACTTGAGGACAATGCCCCTTCTTATGCTACTAGCTAATACTCTGGATATCATATCAGATCTAAGACAGGGCTACGATACGAATGGTAGCAAATGGAAACGGTTGCCGCAGGGCGAGAACAAGTTAAAGATTCTAGGATTAGAACAACCTCCAACAGAAGTGTAGAGGTCATCAGACAGCCATTTTTGTCCTTGTTAAAGTCCTTAATCCCATTCATCACGTGTTGCACTTTACGTGGGAACAATATATCTTGCATGGTTTGATGCCAGCCGTTGGTACTTTATCAAACTTAAGCCGCGAATTAACATGAGAAATACCAGGTCCATAACCGTCCAGTAATAATAATAATAATAATCCAGTAATTAGACTTTCGTGATGCCTTCAAACACACACGCATCAAAATTCTGTTGCACGTTAATTCATGCATGCACTTGAGCATGAGTGTTGGTTGTTGTTCCAGGCACACTCAGCTGCCTGATTCGTTTGCTAACTAAAGTATTACGCATGATTTTGATAAGGAAATAATACCCGTCAATAATTCTTCCACTTCCACATAGTCTACATTCTTGTCAACCATTACAAATCGATCGATCACAGCCTTCCTTTTGTCACTGATGACCAGCTGTGTTTGTTTGTCACAGAATTGTGTTTGGGATGGTGTGGTATGTCAGTGTGCTGGCTGTCCAAACAATGATCAATTGAAACCTATCATGTGTTACCGAATTACAATGAATGGGTCAGAAATTTCACCAAGAATAGGCATTCAAAATGTCTCTGTGTTGAGTCATGCGTTTTTTGAGAGGAACAGCACGATTCTGCGTATAATTCACTTCTACAAAGTTCACAGTTATGATTGATATCATGTGAAGTTGTGACCGTCATTCCAAGTGAAATAAATAGAAGCTCCTCCTCAAAAAACCCGACGTTTTGAAGAAAACTCTAATCCACGGTAGAATTCTGGCTTTCGGTGGTGGAATATGAATGCACCTAATGCTTACTGTCACTTGTAGGGTCAGTTTTTAAAGAATACGTGCGTGTGAGACGTTTAATTTCCTGTCTAATGATTTGTAACTGCTTAGTTTGTTTTCATAAAGGAAACTGCTCACAGGGTTGCTGAGAACTCTCCGACAGCCCACGACCGGTTTCGCCATTCTTGGGGCTCATCAGGTAGGCGCAGTCCCCGAGTTTCCGTCAGCTTTATGTTCTACTTGTTAGTGTTTTCTAATAAATGGCTTTGTCACAAGGGGCTTTATCCACTCACTAGTAGTGCACTAGACCGTGCCATCAAATTCAGGAAGTTACGGCAAGCAACTCGAAGGCAATCATTGTCAAGAACAGTGTGCACTGAACTGGATGATAGAAAAGAGAGGTAAACTACGTGTTTGACAATTAGAGAGTGACCCAGTTGTCTATGAAACACGAGACACTTTCATTGATAAGCCTACACGAGGTAACAAATTTAGAAAATAATTAACCACTATATCCCTGAATCTCAAGGCAGTTGTGTATCAGGTTACAGTGCGGGCTGTTTTGTTGTGTAACTATGAGACTTTCATCTGTTCGAGCAGCGGAACTGAGACGTCTTCAGGTGTTCAACAACCGTTCTTTCAGAACCAAAGCTGTTGTGAGTTGGTGTCAGCGAATACGTGACGAGGCAATCAAAAAGCGAGTTTTGGTTGTATAACAGGTATTTGACTTGAAGAATGCGTCCAGCACTAGAAGCTGCGTTGATTGGGACATGTGGTGTGCATGCCTAAGCATCGTTAGCAGAAAAGTGTACTGTTTTCCATGCCCAGCTGAGAGTAGCGGAAGCAAAGAGGTGGTCAGACCTTGATCTAGCCGAAAAGTATGAAGGAGGTTGCGAAACGTCTAAATGCCGTCAGTGCTACTCGCCTAACAGGATGAGAACCACTTGACCCCCACTGCGCCTGGTTGGAGACACTGCAAGTTATGGCTGCTAGTCGATGTCAATGGAGTTCTTATTGTTAGTTTTTACCCAGACTGCCTTACTGAACGTTTGGGGGTGTATGCGCATTGAAACGATTGTAGTAAACTAGCGATAAATCCATTTCCTCTCCATCTTTATTACTAAATCTACAATAATTTTTTTCAAATACAACATGGTTCCACGGCAGTGAAGCATCAGTGTTGAACACTGGTGTCACGCTCTCCATGACAATGTTGATGAGAGCTCTGTGTGGTTTGTCTGATAATAGTTATACAGGCAGCTTATTGTGGTGACGTTCCCAGGAATAATGGTAATGCATAAATCTGCCGAGTTCATTCAAAATAAAGTAATTTATCAGTAAACTAACTAGATCAACGCTAAGTTTGTTTCATATTTACGGATAATTTACATGTACTGGATACTCACGCAATAATACAACAATCCCCCAAGTCAAGCTTTGCCTAGAATGACCAGTTAATCTCAAGAACACCTCTGATTTGGGTTTAACAATTGCTCATAAGTCAAAAAATCACTCCTAAAATTATTTTTTATAACTAAAAAGAAGAAAACCATCTTAATAAAATTAAGGGGTTCAGATCAAAAGAGATAAGATTAACCAAGTTTTTTTTTTACAAAAACTGACTTGGCGCTATGTTTCGCCTTTGAGCACTACCTTGAGCTGTGTCAGAAGCAAAAATATTTAGCTTGAGAGCAATTCACTCACCCCTTAAAGCCAGACAAATTTTCCGGTGAGTACCCCTTGTCGGTTGCGCTCGTTTTGAAGTTCAAGTAGCACATAAAGTTAACGGGACCTCCGGGATTGCGCCTACCTAATGAGTCCGATGAAGAGCAAAACCGGCCATGGATTACAGAGGAGTAAACAACAACCTCAAGAGTAGAGCATTAGGTCAAGAAGCATTTGCCTATCCGTTTATCAATCTATCTATCTATCTACTTCTATCTATCCTATCTAATCTATCTGTCTCTCTTCCTATATATCTGCCGATCATCCATCTGCCCAATAATCGACGTACCTGTGTGTTAGTCTGTCTGTTTTCCCTTCTATTCACTCATTGGATATTTGTTAATCATTAAGATGATTTCTTATTAATACATCTATTTATTCACCCCATACAGGCATGTGTACTTTTGTGCTGTGATTCCAGTACACGATAATTTCTTTAATCACGTTGCATTTGAGAGATTTTCATTTTCGCCAACAAAGTATTTGATGGTGGTAGATTCTGCGAGCAGCTACTACCGCTCTGTCGTTCGTCATCCTGGTATGCACACCAAAGGCGTTGCTCGATTTGCAGATGGTTCTTTGGACGCAAGCGAAACCCACGCATGCTTTACGACAGTCTTGCATGTTTAAGGACGCAAATTGGGTCATACCACATTCAAATCAAGGCCCTGTGTAATTATCTCGTCATGTCAAACTATTGTTTACCATGCCCATTTCAGCGTTAAAACGCGATCCCATCACTGGTCTGGGAACGGTTACCAATGGTGCTGAAGACAAGGTCGCTCGTGCAAGAACACAGTCGTTAGGACGGAGAAGTAGGTTATTCTCTAGATCGTGGAATGCACAAGTCTTGCTTCATTTTACACGAAAGCAGCTAACTCGAAAAACTCTTAGATGAATTAAATTCCGTATGAGCGAAAAACATCAGACTTAGGTATTTGGACTCTTCGCACCAACTGTTCCTACGTTCGTCATACAGATTAGGTATTTTTGTGCAGCAGTTCTTATCTCGGCGATTAACTGAACCAGATGACCTGGCGTTCCCACAATGGTCACGCTTAATGGTAAAATTGTCGAGATGCGATTCAGGCCAATGTGTCAATAAAACAATTGATTAATTCTGACGCTTGCTTTACTCGCAGTGGCCGCAATTCTTTAACTCACAATCGGAAATTGGCCCGGAAAAATTTCTAATAAGCGAAGTTACAAGTGAAACCAGTCAAATGTCAGCTAAATAGTCATGGGAAAAAGTAACGTGCGATGACTTGAAGTGGATTGCGCTCACTCGGTGATCCAGAACAACAGTATCAAGGTGATGCTGAATAAAACCCCTTTAAATGCAGCATGTCAGAGTTAATACATGTATTGAATATTCGAACAATATTGCTCGAACATAGTGCGAATGACATTCGGAAATTTTAATTAGATACACAGGCAAATGGTTCAGTTCAAATCCGATCAGTTTCCTCTGCATGATCCAAGCTATTATAACTCATCCTGAATGTGGTGTGATGAGCAATCTTTAATTCCAATGCCAAATCTGATACATACAAAGTTGTCTTTGGTGAGGGTAATTTTCCTGCCAAACTGAAACTTCTGATTTGACTGACTGGTGTCACACTACCCAGTCACCTGCCTTAAAGGACCTCACAGATGTATGTGAAATTTGACCAGATTGGTGTCAACTAACACTGAACACTTCAACCCACATAACCCTAGGCCAATGTCAATCAGATCTTGAAATGGCTTTTACGGCAGGCTCAGTATTTGTGGTAGGCTGAATGTTTGAGAACCAGCCCGACGTATGATATACTGAAGAAATTGGGCAGCGCTAATCGTCTACTCTTATTAATGGCATGAATGAATGCTGGCAATGTTCCCTGACGTGAACAGAAGACATTTATATGGCCAACTACTCACCGCAAATTTGATGCACATTGTAACCACGGCAAAAAGCTGAATTTATATAAATACTTTGTACGAATGAGTCCATCAACCGAGTTGCCTTAAGCGGAGCAGTCTGCGTTTTTAACCAAAACATCTACAGAAATAGTTTCAATCATTACAAAGTACTTTATGGGGTGTTTATGAGGTACTATGAAGATCATTTCTCAGCACTGAAAAATCTGTGGGCTGCAAAGTCTTCAGTATTGCTCATCAATAATGCGGAAACCACATCTGACCATCTAAAAATAAAACCTATTAATGATTTATATTCAAATAGAGCGACAGACATTCAGCGGAAGTACACCAGAGTACTTATAAAAACAGGCCATGTACAACGCACAGAAAATAAGTTGCGGCATGCCATTTCATGAAATGCCTTGACTTTCATTCAACCGATGTCAAGCGTGTGATGGGCAGCTGATAATAGCCCGTATATTTTCATTTCTTTACGTTCCCTACTTTCGGTTGAACTATTCCCTGAGATGAAATTTAATTTTCGAATTGTATCGAATAAACCTGCGACAGCTTTTGTTAGAAGTTACCCAGTTGGCCATCTTGTTCACAGCCCACCCAATCGATAAAAAATCACTGCTCGCACCGGTTGACTGGTTGGTCATAATTTATCATGTACCTAACAAACCTTCAAAGGTCACAAGGATGCGATATACACCTCTTATGTCACTCCTGTCTATGATGCTCGAAATAATTGGCTCTGCCTTGATATACACTGCGTCTCAGATCAGTCCCAGTTTGCTAAATTATCTAACTCATTATTCGAAAAAATTCAGACAATTTTATTCCCAACTGTTTCCTAAATTTATAAATGCGGTTGTGAGTAGACACCTTCTAGAAATCAAGTGTTACAGAGGTTGCCCATATCTGTGTGAAAAAAGTAGTCTAAGAACTGGAAATGGTAAATTAGAACATCATAAACGAGAGATTCAGCTGGGTTCCAGGTGAGTCCCTCGAAAGTACCAAATTAGTTTGCAGATGAGTGTATATTCGCTAATTTCCTGCAGTTTGGTTTCAAGTAGAACATAAGGCTGACGGAAACCGGGGGACTGCGCTTACTTGATGAGCCCCAAGAAGGGTGAAACCGGTTGTGGGCCGTCGATGGATTTTCAGCAACCTTATGAGTAGTACATTACAAATATACATGTATCGCGATATTTCAAATATCGTAGCGACTGAAAGATGAGGCGGCCTGGTGCAGCACATTCAGTTGCCTGAGAACATCATAAACGAGAGACTCAGCTGGGTTCCAGGTGAGTCGAAAGAAAGAACCAAATTAGTCTGCAGATGAGTGTATATTCGCTAGAATAACGATTATTCTCCACCAAAATGTCCCCCATCCAATTTGCAAAGTTAGTTCTAATCAGAATGTACATTCATAGGTATTTTCTTCGAACACTGAGGAAACAAACTTTGTGTTTCAGTCTAGTGCTTCATATTTCGAAAAGTTTAAACAGCTTTTGCGTCAAATGGGTCCTGAAAAGGTCTCCAGAGGACAGTCCCTGCTCCAAAATTATTTGGGATTGGTTGCTTCCATTCTAGATAAGGTAAGGCTTCTGTGTCTCTGAGATGTACCGTTTGAACCTGATTGCTTTATCCAGTATTATTTCATGTATTCTTGGTTTTATTCTTCTGCGAGAGGCATTATTTTCTTTGCATTCTAAATATTTCTGGTCTATTAATTATTTCATGTCTTTCGTACTACATGAAAATTCCATAGTATTTTGAGTCCAACTTGTTGATTCAAGACTAACATCTGGTGTATTCAAAGAAGATGATGAGCGCCTTCCTTTGTCTGCGCACTTGTAATCGTTTGCAGAAGTAAACATACCATTTTATCTCATTTTAGGAAGGATACTTTGCATATAAGTAGAGTGAAATAGATGAATACTGCGAAGAAACCTTCCCCTATGTAAAACCACGCATGCTGACATTAAGTTACGCCGAATACTGGTCAACTTCTACAATTTGTACCGATAAAACTTAGCAAAAGATGGGTGGAAGAAGAACTATTATATGACAAATCGTTTGAAAAAAATATGCATATGCATATGTGCATATGTGGTGCATCACTCAGGGAGCCATCAAGAACAGTATTAATAATGAAAAGTGGATTTTATGCTCCAAACTAAACTGGTGCTCAAGATTCCAGGAATGATTGGACGTTTGTTTTGTCACTACCTTGCAGTTGGTCTATTATTTCTGAGCACAAGGATTTCACTAAATGCCAAGGTCACTATTAATATATGACTCAAACGTCTGGGATAAGTTCAAGACACTCCATATCGGCGGACATATCAGATTTTCATTTTGTCCGAAACACGTGTTTTTTTCGAAAATATAATCTCGTTTGAGAGCCGGATCTATCAAATTTGACCTCCTAGTACTTGTGAGTAACTCCTACTGCTCGTTCGATTTCCACGTAGATCAGTAGTTCCTCAAGTCCAGTTGACGGGTACATACCTTTGGCTAGATCGCCATCGTATTCCTGATACTTGGGGCACGAGTGTTACAAGCTTGATGGCGCATACTACTTGTGAGACGTGCGAGTAGCAGCAATCAACCCGAAATTTTTTACCTTGTTATTAGGTTTGACTATAAGTATATATAACTTGAAAATGAACTAGCATTGGGTGCACCATTGTCCAATGGTTCTTGAAGCTGAAGGGTGAGCGTTGATAAAGTAGAAATGTTAGAAAAACCTTCTTTTCATGGGATTTCGGTGATGGGGAAAACGTATCTCTCAAGTGTATCATATTCAGCGTGGTGCTGGCTAGTTTGTCTGGAGTAAAATTGATTGATTTAACATTTTTGTATGGATTAGAGTTTCTTCAAGGTTTCTGCACAACAGCATTTTATGTAGAAAACTTTTAAACTAACGAAGAAACCTTGAATACGTTCGAAATTGACGGTGCAGCCGGGAAAACCAGTAACCTAGGGAAACCCAGCCACCCTGTTGTGACGACTGAGAGCGGCGGTAGTAGCATTCTGCGGTATTTATTTTAGCCATATGCAACCGCGAGGAATTTATATACATCGTAAGATTCGGAAATGTAAACATTTAACTCCTGAATCAGCGTGGATATGTATGGAGGGAATGACCAAAAAGAGGTGTTTTGTAGTAACCTTAACTGCGTGTAGAGAACTATGGCCAATCTTTAATCTGTACCTACTAATTCCTGGAAGGACTGATAAGTTGAGGAACACTATAACATGGCGGCCTAAGTTTTTATCATCGCTATACCCTATTTCTGGGAAAGGAAGTGAGTTTCAAGAATTCCATTTTAATGGATAACCCATTATTTGAATCGAACAAGCCCCCACCTTTACCCTTCTTGGCTTTTTGGAAGAAGATTGCACCAAAAATTAATGGCTTGTTCATAAGTTGAAGAAGGAGGTAAAGTTTTAACATCCATTAACCAATATTTAGTATCTTCCAAATACTTCTAGTTCATTCAACTGACTGGTTTTCGTAGGTGCTTTTCTAAAACAACAGATAATNGAAGGAAAGGAGGTAGAGTTTTAACATCCATTAACCAATATTTAGTATCTTCCAAATACTTCTAGTTCATTCAACTGACTGGTTTTCGTAGGTGCTTTTCTAAAACAACAGATAATTTGGAAGCACTAGGCAAAATGTCAAACATTAACATATGAAGAAGACCACGGACTTATACAAAAGTGCGACAATTTACTCGAGAGCAAAAAGAACTCTAAGAAGAAAGGAGGTTGCTGATTTGCGAATCGATTATTAGTTTATATAGACAAATTAAAAAGCATCGGAATGTTTCTAAGTGCTGATTAAAGCATTTCATACGACTGTTAGGTGAAGTTCATCAAGCTGTAAATTTTGTGCCCCAAAAGCGGTTAACTTTCGACATTTCATTAAAGTTTCTGACAGACTTGCTATCACAACACTTTTTGTGAAGCATGACTAATAATCGTATTTGCAAAGTCAGCTTGGTCCAAATTTATGAGCTTATTAGTCGTCGGGTGATAGACAAAGAGTGTAAACTACACGCTTGTTGCGCAAATCTATCATTGTGACCAATACCCAGCGACCAAATTGAACAGAAAGCACTAACCCTTCAAACACCCCTTTAGTCACTTTTACTGGTTGATTTTTCACAGTAAACCTTGATAATAATCCTTGAGAAACTTATTTAAAATTTTGGTAGATGATGGCAACCACGTAGCGTTCATCTGTGCAGTCCGGTGGCGCCTGACCCTATCTAAATATGCATTAGTTTATTTTTACCATTTCATCATAAAAATGTCCCTTCAAGTTTTACGATATGCTTTGACAAAACTTCCAGTTCTGCTTAGCATGAACCCATAGATTCTTGGTGAAAACCTAAGCAAATTTATGTTGAATCGAAGTGTTGCTGGCATAGATATAAAGGGCTGCTCATCTGTCGGAACATTCCTATTAAAATTGTTATCGCCCCAGGTTCTTAGCAAGACACTTCAAGGACACTGCATGATCATTCGAAGAATCTTATCAAATAAACCTTTGAAAAACGGCGAGCAATTTAACATGCGAAATCTTTATTGCCCAAACGACTGCTAGCTGGAATATGTACTGTGATTTATGAGATTCACATCGCATACCTTTCCTAACATCCGTCTGATTTACTCGTAGGACAAGAAATCCCAAAAGCTGCGCTCGAAAACAATCTACCTTTTACTTGCATCCGAACGGTCACAAAATTGTTTGTCTATGCAAAGCACGTCATATATTATTATTTTGCTCAGCACAAGGTAATAATGACCCTTAAATATTTCTTTCTTTCAACCATGGAGAACTGAATCTAATAAAATCAGTTTTCATTTCCCACTGACCCAATCAAGCTTATTTAAGTTGCATTGGCGATAAAATGGGGATTTTATTTTAAGATACCTGGCAAAGGAAAGTATATGATAGAGTCATGGCCTGATTTCAGCCTTGAATTTTTAGCAGTTTCAGGTTTTACCAGTTTAATATCTTGAAGCTTTTTTATTCCATCATTACTAGTTTACAACCGCAAATTGATCTCGTGGGACGCGGACGAGGAACCAAACAAGGTATCAACTAGCAACTCCAGACCAAACAGAGGTAAGTTACTCATATATAAAAATCAGAATGAGCTTGATGAGCACCACCGGTTTCACCTTCCTTCTGGCTTGCTAATTAAATATGGCCCTCAAGTTTCATCAATTTCTGGTTTCCATATGGTGTTGTTTATAATGTGACTCAGTTCGGGATCTTTTATCTTTATATAATTGTTTCAAAAAAGCTTTTAATAAACTGTCTGGATTATCCTTCAGAAAATTTGCACGCAGCTGCTTGACCCTAAATTTTTATTCAATTTTTCAATGTCATGGCTAGCTCCGTAGAGTCAACTTAGTTTAAGACTGAATGTCTATTACAGGTTTAGGCGTGGCGTTATCAAACGCACGTACACGTCAAGTGCACGTACACTACATCCCCCGAAGATTAAAAAACATTCCGTGGGGTCTGTATGAAAAGTGACCACCCTTTAACCAAGCTATCAATAATTAATAGCGTGCACGCTTTATCCGACGTGTCAAGCCACTGGTAGGCGGTTGGAACCCCAAGTTACTACAAATAATTCGGCTCAAAACCTGTCATCGTGCAACACATGCACAGTAAATTTGTTGAGATGAACACACAACTTTGAAGCTTTCCCGTTGACAGGATTCTGTTAGATCTCGTAATGCACATTTATCCAGGGTAAGACGTACATATATTGGTGCGAAAATCATCGGGGACCTTATTTTCCAAGTTGTCATCCTTTGTCATTAAACTAATACGGATATAAAGTTCTTGAACGTTCACTAATGTATTAGTTTGAAAGATACAATATGAGTCATGAATTCAACTACTCTTCGAAGATAGTTGCGAGTTCAGTCTCATCAAGACAGAAGAACTTTGTGCAATATCGTAAGATCTGGTTGCACGTGCAACTGTCAGCCGACTACATTTAAATTAGAAACCTCCTAAAGTTCGCAAAGCCGATGTGACGCTGTGTTACTGTTTTCCACATGTCCAACAAAAGAATTTGCGCTGATTCATGATGCTTTAGTTTTTCCGTTCAGCTTTAGTCGACCCGATTTTCCTGTATCTGTCAGTCCGCCACCTACTGAGAACAACTGTCCCGATTATTAGTTGATTTTGACAGGGTAAATTTTGTCTATGGCCAGTGTTCTTGGGGTGGAATTTGGAGCCAAGTTTCATGTATTCTGCTTTGTGTTTTGTGCTAATCCAACGCACAAGAGAGGGGAGAAAAATTGACAGACTGAGATTGACGAATAAACTGCATTCATTCGTCAGTGACACATGAATGGTTATTCTGAAAATCAGCGAGAATTATCTTTCACTGATGGGTATTGTTGAATGACTCCTGGTTTCACACAAAGAGAATAGTTTTGTGAATTAAATGTGTCTCCAGTAAGTTGCTTAGTTCGAATAATGGCACATACCAATGTTGCGCTCGCCAGTAAACGAGCACTTACTTGAGAGATCTTCCCAGTTCCATATCACAGTCTAAACAAGGCTTTGACTCACTAAGTTTTGTTTCTGGTTTGTTAAGTCTTGCTGTACTCTTGAGAAGACTGCAGTTTTAATGATGCAGTAGAGGGAAGTAGGCTGAATCTAAATGGATCTGCTTCTGTTTTGTTCATTTACCCACTGTTTCATTTTACGCCGCATTATTAGCTATGCGAAACCCTATTGCTCTAACTGGGGAGCTGGGTGCGGAGGTGGATAGCTTGCGAACAACTTCCCGTCCCCGGCTTGGAACACCAAGAGAACGTAAGATTTGTTTATTGTTTTTCCACTGGATGATTTGGTGGCCTGTGATTTATTTGCACAGTAGGTCACTGTAGCATTTACGTCTCCGGAATATTTGACACTTCTCAATGATATACGAGCAGTTAGGCGTTTCAGTTTGGGATTCGAATGAGAGGGAGTACGAACAACAATATATTCGATACTACACTCCAGGACCAACAGTTTTGATGCCACATATTGCAACTTTGTGAAAATTAGCTCACCAACGTGAGACACAAGGAAAATCATGAAAGCACCGACATAAAAAATGGTACTCGAATTCACAATAAGACGTGAAAATCGTTTTATTTACTGTTTCTACTCGGGAAAATTACAGGAAACAATCCCAAAAAGCCGGCGACTATTGTTCAGCCGTTTCATTCTTCCTAAAGTCACTAGCAGTGTCCATCTTCAAACCACTTGTTGAAACCCGCGAATTTCTTTATAGGAGTCCAGCATTTCTTGTTATACGGATGGTCCACTAAAGGCAATTTTAGCAGCTGTTAGCTTTGACCCATGAGATATAAACATTATTTCGGCTAACGATTTTCAAGACTTATGATGGATGTAGATGGTCACGGAAACATGGGATAGATTGTACATTAATATCAGATTGATTGAGCTTTGCTTTTAGGAGGGGCACATTTATTCACCGTATCACGTTAAAAATTTCTTCTGGAAACCCTGAAGCGGTCAGTAATGCATTTATTGTGAATAATTAAGAACAACTTTAAAAGGAAACAAAGTCGAGATAGAAGCTGAAGGCATTCTATTTTCAAGCAGAAAATTGGCATCGAATTTGGGGCTAACTTCACGGAGGGCTAACTAAATGTTTGATGTTTCCAAATCAATTTGGGTTCGGCTTACAATACTGGATGACAAAGCGACCAGTTTCACCAATAAACATGAAGCTGATCCGACAAATTGAGCTAATGCCATAATCAAAAGTTTTATTCAAGAACGTTTCTCGCGGCAAACAGTTACAAAGTGGAAAGTTAATGAAAGAGCCATCATTTCAACTACTGAGACAAATAAATCATCTGAGAGGATGCTTCAGTTGTAATAATTTCTGTGATGAAAGAAACAAAATTCGAACAGTTCTGGTAGAAGATCCAATTTCCTACATGCCCCCACGTATATGCTTCATTAAAGCATGAGTGCGAATGTTTCCTACCCGGTGTAATTAGAACTAAAAATTCCAATCCTAGGAGACAACAAGAACATGTTAGTCGCCTGTAGGTGTCCTGCGAATGTATCTGATATTTCACTGCTAATGTGCATTTGACGGTCCCAGCATTTACTAAGTAGTATGCGTCCGTGTAAAATAATCATCCTTAATAGCCTTGCTGTTACATTGCAGCATAACCGTTTTTATTTGTCCTTTGGATATCTTGATTCTGGACATGACAGAGAAACATTGATACAAAATTATGGGTTGAAAGTACCCAGAATTTAAAGTCGTGAGCCGAGTGGGTAGAGTTTGCTATCTATATTACTGGAAATGCTGATGAATTCGTTAAAAACTGCCACTACTGCTGACCGACAGAATTTTATGCAAACTACTAGATGAAATTGAACAGATTTGTCTGTATACTACGCATAATTTGGTGGTCTAAGAAACTGACTTCTTAAAAGACGCGATGAATACCTGAGAATGAAATAGAGCAGAATTGGTCTGCTCAGTGGCAGACATTTTTGAAAAGTAGGGACATAACCACAATGGTAAGCGAGAGTATCATCCTTGTCTTTGCTCTATTGCCATTTTTTCCGGTGCTAGCACAACGCGATCCGATAGCTGGATTGGGAAACTTTGGAGAAAAGGAATGGGATCCAATCTGGAAATATAACGGACGTATGCGCAGATCAAAAAGTAGCAACGGTGAGCAGTTATTCAATTATCAGGACTAATTCAGTGGGGTAACAGGTTAGGATGTTAACATTATTAAAACAGAACCGCCGTCTTGATTATTCATTAGTTACAGCCAGAACTATTACTTATCCAGCAAAAAATAACTGTATGATGAAATTTATTCAGAAATGATGGCACCACGGGGCGTAACTTGCTTAGTTTCATTCAATTTTGCTCTGGAGTTTCCTTCCTATGGTCAGCCCTTGTGCCCGCACCCTATCCATCCAGAGCAGAAGTGCTATTACCTTGTCATTATTGTCACAATGCATGTGAGATCTACTGTAGTGGGTCATTTTTTCATTCCGAATTGCATAACGTGTAATTAGTAAAGAGCTAACTAATGGGATATTGTCAGACTAATACTGAAAGGTGTAGTGTCTGGAATGTCCGGAATACGCTGATATCCAGGCACTCGTATATATATATATATATATACAGCCCTGGAAAATATTTTACTCCAGAAAAAAGACAATTTTTCTCTTCAAGGATGTGTGTGAGCACCTTCTGATCCTTTCTGTGGTGAGAACATTGAAAACAGTTTCTGAGAAAGGCGGCTTTCTGAAGCATTTGTGCCCTCTCGGGAATAGACTGGAAGCTCTACTATTCCGTGCAAATATCATCATAGAAAACTCCGTTTTTCGGATAGTAATATCAAGTGAGCAGCTGTATGTAGCGAGATCAGCTCAATTCTTTAGACGACAGAAGTAATTTAAAGTGTCTCATGATCAGCCGACCCGTTTTTTGTGTGGTGCAAAAGCAACACGGCGTTACTGGTCAAGATAATCTTATTTACCTTTGTAACAACAATTACGCCAAAGGTGTTTTTCAGTAAGGTTTACTTCAGGACTGTATGGTTATAAATTTGTTCTTATCTAAAAGGACCAGAATCAGATGGGATCATTTGGGGAAGGAATAGACTTTTAGAGGCCAGGCGTTTCCTAGGGGTAGCTATGTGTCATTGAACACCGAAGTTGTTTTCTCCATGGAACAACAACTTCAATGAAGGCTGCTCTGCAACCGAGCTACTGAAAGCGGCGAAGAAGCAAAATCTGGGTAGTTTGCTTTGCTTAGGATACCAGGATTGCCTACCCGTGCAACAGTGACTGATTTCATACCTTTATTAAGCTACTCTTCTTTTCAAGCCCAACTGATCCTCACTAAATTTCACTATTTATTTCAAAACAGGAATACGTACTAATCCAATAACCGGACAGAATATGAAATCGTTTGAGGTCATGGTAGAAGAGAAGTCACCTGCAAGCCGCTGTCGGGATAGACCATCGGGTGAGTTGAACGCATTTTCGATATAATTTTCCTCTGTAATGGTGCTGATATCGAGCGTATTGATGCGAGTTCAGATATGCTACAGTTCTGATGGATGGAACAAAAAGCATATCTAAATTTCCATGTTGTACTGATTTGCTCACACTGCTTTTGTTTTTTTCAACCAAAGGTTCAGGAAATGGCCATTCGACTATTGTGACTAATGACATTTGTTAACCTCAGGATCAATTAGATTGAAATTAGTTACCTAAGGCAAGTGTACTCACACCAACAGTTTGATCACGTGACTAATTCCTAGTCAATCTTAACGCTGTAGAACTAAGAAGGCCAAGAACGGTAGAAGTGGACAGTTTTTTGAGATGTTACAAAGTTTCAGCAATCCGTTTCCGGTGCTTAAAAATGCACAATTCTACTGCCTTGCCACCAGTGATTATTTTTGCTGATGACAGCGTGCACCATGAAGCGCTGCTTGGTTGTTGGTCGATTCGCCGGACTTAAAAGCTGGGTTGCAAACATTTCTTCAACGGGTAAATGGACATCGACTCCTTTGTGGTGGTTTCTCCTTGAGAAGTGACCAGTCATTTTTCAACCCAAGTACCGAGCTCGGTTAACTGATAAAAGGAAACCAGTAACCAAATCGAAAATGCAATCAGTTGAGTACAAACAACATGTGTCAGATCTAGAGGCCGGTTTCCAGTTGATTCTTAGAATTTCCAACTTTCAAAACATACAAGTGGATATGAGAATGGGAAGATCATAGATCGTAATGAAAATTCAAGAATAATAATGAGGGGACAAAATGCTGTCCCTAAATCCACTTTAAGCAAGTTAAACTTCACTACCCCAAATAAAGTTATGTGCTGCAAAATTAGTTGGTGAGTATCATGAACGAGATGTTCTTACGAGGTTGCCTTGAATACCCGGTAACCAATGTTGTGAACCATGAAAGAAAACATGGTTGCGTATAGGTCCGATTTAGTGTTTAAGTAAGAAGTGTGACTATTTAAAATGTCCGATAAGGCAGGTTATTGGTCTACAACACAAGCATGGCATTGGTGAACATTCCGGGTACTTTAGTCTACTTCATAAGTAAATAAGGACAATCTGTCGACATATTTATTACCGTCCGGACCAAATGTGTGGTCGAGGTTCGCGCCTTCTTTCGTCGAGTTTTGAAGTAAAGCAAACTTATGATCTAGATAAGATAAAACCATTCTTTCCCATGAGCCCCACGCGGGCGAAATCAGTGACCGATCAGTTTTGATCGGAACTAATGAAGGAAAAACGGCCGCCTAGTATGTAATTTTCAGGATCTATTAGCATGAAGAATCATTTCCCTAAGGTATTTCTTCAAATCTGAAGTGAATAGGCCTGCAGGGAAATCATCGTCATGTCCAGCGTCTGAGTGCTTTAATGTTAGTTCCATTGACATTTATTTCTAACCACTAAATTGATTTATTAGCAGTATAGAGGGGTCGATAAGTAGGTTGTGCGATTGCTCTCAAGGCTCCGTGCCAATTTCGCCAACCGAACTCCATATATTTCAACAGTATTCACATGTGAGATACAAACTCTGCTGGGACACACCCGAAACTGACGCACATAAATAAATCGTGGGTCAGTATGTATAAATCATGAAATCGTTGGTTACTGGGCTAACCAAGAACATCTGTACAAACACTAAAATATTTTCTGTTCTGCACAAGGGTCTACTGAAAATGAGTTTTCCAAAAAAATTTTGACATACAAATTTTTCAGGAGTATAAATGGACGCACCATTTTTATTTTTTATTTTTTGAAAGCCGTGGTTACAAAATAGCCAGCTAGAACGAGATGACGGACTTTTGGTCCTCAACAGAATTTCGACTTATAAAGATAATATGAACACTATCAGCATCAAACTCACTCCAGTGTCGAAGCATTTTGAACACATACACGGCTGCCTTTCTCGAATTTCCAGCAAGAATTGTTTATCATACATACTAGATCAACTACATCTACCCAATTCTCGAGCGCATTTTTGCGTCTGGCGAGGTCCATTGCCGTTATTCAGCGTTATGATTTAATTATAAAATTAAAATCTTTATGTCAGCCTGTCCTGTTCCTCGCAACCATGCGGTATGCGCTTTGATATAAAGTGGTGTTGAAATCGTCACCATCTTGAGCAAACTGCCTTATTTCAATCATAGGAGCTGTAAGATAGATCACTCTGTAGTTCTTTGGGAGAGATAGACATAGTCATCATAACCTACCCATCGATGACTAATTGGACGTTTTTAAACATCCGAAAATAGCTTACTGCTATTAGGAAATAAGAGCCATTCATACTATTTCCTTTTGTCTCCACGTATTTCAGATATAAAACGAAATATATTCACCGGCGAAAACTGTTCCACTTACTCAGTTTCACCGGATATGAAGTCGCCGAGTAAGAAAGGGACAATCAGTAAGTGTTCGGTACTTCGTGCTCACTGAACCGTCAATGTAACCTAGGTAACGTGGGTAGCTATGATTTCGCTTTGGCAAACGACAGTGGCCTAGTCTGAACCATATTATGGCGTTTTTATCAGTACTTGAAGACCAATGGCTGGACCATTGTACTCTCCAAAACAACCACCTTCAATGAAATAGAAGGAACTGGAACATTTCAGATATGAGGAGGTAAAAATGGCTAGTACTTAGTCGCCCAATTCAATCACTAAGAAAGTAGGCAAGCAATACCTCTATAAATGTGTTGCGATGTTCATAGTTCTGAAAAAATCATGACGGGTTAATGTGGCGATGAAGGACATGCCCGGTGAGTTGATCTGTCCCGCTTGTGACAATGAGAGAGCACAAGATCTTCCATATTTGAGATTTGCTCCTGTTGACACGTGTTTAAGATACTTAAACTTAGACAAAACGTTGCAAACAAAGAACTTTCGGGCTTTAAATGGATTCATTTTGTCATTTCTTTGCAATGACGTGATTAAACTGCATCTAACAGCAAGGCAGTTAGCAGGACGTTTCAGAAGTCAAACCAATCTGGTTGGTTATTGTGTTCAGTAATTTAGAAAAAACTTTCTATTGGAAGTCCAAAATTTCAAAATTCCTTTGAACTCTTGATGTCTCTTTTTATTTCGCGTAAGCTGGTTGTAGCTGCAAGTTTGTTTGCAGATATTTTTGGCAAAATTAGCCTCCAAAGTTTGAGATAGATGGGTAGTTACAGCAAGATATGTTGAGGCTGGGGAATCTTGCATATATTTAACCGAATTCGGTTTTATCCTAGTCTGCTTTGAGGCGGGAAAACATCAGCAGAGAGTCAAATGTATGTTAGCCGTTCTAAACCGGAGATCAAAAGCACTCTGTATTTGGGTCGTCCCTTGATGTGGTCTAGCCTTCCAAAAGTATTCACAACAAAATAATGGTTGTTGGAGGAAGATCTACTCTAGATGGTCTGGTTGTGCTAACATATTGTACATAGTTGCCCCTTTTGTTTTGAAGTGTTTCGTTTTATCATAACTTCAGAAGGTGTAGCAGGGAACTATAACCATACTCAGCAGCTGTCCTCCAGTGTATAGACGAGAGGCCAAAAGGCATGCTGCCAAGCAGCATATTGTAGGGGTTCGGCTTACGAAAGATTAAGACTAGTTGTTCGAATTTATAATATTTTAGGATACCCGTTATGATATCTTGTAGCACGGCTCTGTCATGTCAATGTATCATTTTTAAAGCTTTAACTACACCAACATCGGTGTCTCACACCGTCCACAGCTTCTCCACGAAACGCAATAACGGGAGAAAACTGCACAAGCTATGACATCAACTCCGAGGTACACACAACGAAGGTGCGCCAAAGTCCGAAGGCGTCGAATCCACTTAGCGGGGAAAATGTCAACGTGTACACAGTCTCACAGGAAGAAAGACAACGTCCCTTAAAACCGTACGGTGGGTGCTACTTTCAGGGCATAACATGATAGATTATTATAAGAAGTAGTTTTAGACAAACACGGCGCCACTCCGTCTAGGAAATTATATTTTTTCCCCATCATCCTCTTGACGAGTACTGGCTTAAACGAACTATATAACCGCACTTATAGATGATTTTTGAAGTGGTCTTAAACCAATTATTTCCGGAATATCTTGCCTGCTGCTCCTTTAGACAGATGTCTTTAAGTACTTCTGTGTTTGAGTGTCAGAAACCGATTTATCGACTCTGAAATAAATGAGGATCAGAGCCAGTTATTTACGCTGACTGACCTGGACACCAACTTCATTTCCAGGGTTCTCCTTTTTTAGACTGGCAGCGTTTAAATTGTACTTTTGGGGTGATTGAAACCAATAATTCAATGCTCCGCGGGTTAAGGTGGAAAAGGGGCTTATCAGAGGCGATTTTTCAAACAAGCGTCTGTGAAGGCAAGCGGTAATTTCCAGTTATGCGTAGTGAAGTACGGGAGCTCGAGATCCCCGTACTGCATGGATATGAATCGGTTCGATTCATTAACTTGTGGGTAATCGCGACTAGATAAAAATTAAGCGCGAGGGAAGATGATAGTGATTGTTCATTGTGTTTTCCGACTATCGTGCAGTTAAGGCGTCCATCGAGTCTTCGTCAAAAACGGAAATGAAATGATTATATACCGACAGTAACACTGATGCAGTTAAACTTTTGCACTTTATGTTTAGGTTTTCTTTCTAAACCGCCGCGGTATTTACACCATATAATTTAATAGGAAACTCAAGCTCAAACGTGAACACGTTCACCTGTTCAAACGCGAAAATTCAGAGGTGTCCAACGTGCTTTGGTGGATTGGTGGTTACACGCTCGCATGTCAGATGTCCGGGGTTGAAATTCCGGCATGGCCATAAGGTATGCACTGCTGATGAGCTCCAATAAGAGCGAAACTCCAGTTCAGTGCTTCTTTTTGGTGTGGACTCACCGGAATAATTACACCAGAACAGGAGGACGACCGTACCAACAAGAGTGGTGTGTCTATGAACAAAATATCTATACCGCAAAACCCCAAGACTGCAGACTGATAGTCCTATAGGATGTGGCCATTGACGTTCGAACAGCTTGTCTGAAGGTTCCATTGTACGAAAAAGGCAGGTTTTTCATTGAGAGCGGTCAAGTATCACGCAATCCCGAATACCTGTAACGTACAAGTACCGTTTTCCTTCTCCAAATACGGAAAGAGATACTCAAATGAAAATCCGTAAGTGCAGTTGTATTATGCTCCAAGAAGGAGCGGGACGATAACTGGTGATGAAAAATTATGAATAGGAGTCTGTCGTAGTTCTGAAGAGAGTGTGATTTACAGGCTTCTTCCCTGAGTGCACCGTTCACTTATCAATATATATGTATATATGGTGATCTCAATGCCACAGAAGGCATTCATTTGAATTTCCCAAAAGATAAGGGTATACGAGACTTACTGTTAACAAAGATGTGACCGAGTGGCCCGACAACGTAAGCGTTCGTGTTTTAGGACTATTTATAGAGCATAAAAAGTTCTTTTGACCCAGATATCTCCATTTTTGTTTTGCAAACTGGGCCACTTAGATGCACGTTAGGCTGACCACGGCAACTGCCTACATTTTGTGACTTGCAGAAGGGTATGGGTTATCCCCCAGGATTATCTATTTAACCGTCAGTCGCAGAGGGAGTCACTACACAACGACACAATGTGAATTGTGTGTTTCGGGCATAAGTGGCGCTGTCTTAGCTACGTTCAAGTTAATAGCACTCCTCGTGCATAGACAATACGGTTTTCGGATATTCGATGGGAAGTACCAGATTTAATTCTTCCAAAGGATTCGTTGTAGGGTGCTGCCGCTAATTCCGAGTGAAGAGAAACCGGCTATACATTGCTTTCCACTTGGACGAACTCTCCATCGAAATTTCCAATGATCCTCATTATATGACGACTTATTTGGTCTTCACTACTGACAAACTCGAAAGTAAATAAAAAAAACAATCCAGTTCACGGAACTCTAACCACCACCGATTTGTAATGCCTCAATGAGAATAAGGATATCTCTTGCATTATGAACCTTAAGAATCTAACACATCCTGACTACTATTAAATTGTGTTCTCAGTGTGTTTTTGGACTAAAAGGAAACAGATACCGACAAGCTCAGCCGCTATAAATTCTATCTATTCTGACTTCTATGTTCCTGAGATTGAAAATGCGGAAGAGTCGCGCGAAAGGCCCATCAGGCTCTTCAGCTAAGCGCCTCAAAAAGACCAGATACAAGATTCTGATCCAGTGTTGATAGATTCTAGCGGAAAAATCCAGGTTAATGGAGAAGATTATAGGAATTCCACATGCAGTTCCAGCGACAATGAGCCAAAACATGGGTCTGTTGTCCGATTATCTTATACTGCATTGTTAATTGCATGAGATCAAAACTTCTAAGAAAGTATTCGGTGGCGGTTTTGAGACAAACCTCAAACTTCTACTCCTCCAGAAACGGAGAAGCCTAACTTACCTGAACAACAGTCCAAAGTTTCTTGATTTTAAGCCAATAATCAGCCGAAATTCCGTCAATCCGTCACATGTGGCAGTGAACATTGGTTTAAGTGTGATGCTCGTTCCCGTGTCCATTTTCTGGTCTACTAGGAGTATCTGAATTCGGTCCAACAACCGATAAAAATTGAACACGCACAGCAATCAAATTTCTGCACACTAACGCCCAGGTGTTTCAATAATGATACACCTGTCTAAATTCTCACTAAGCCATAAAAAAACTCGAAGTTTTGCTCTTTCTCTTTGGAAAACTACTCACTGTATGTGGAATTTTTTGGTTTGTCGGCAGATTTCATGAGTAAATGGCAACGAATATGAGATTCGTCTTCATAAACGGAACTGTTCACAGATTTGCTGAAAACTCTGACATCCTTTGACCGGTTTTGCCCTCACTGAGCTCATCAGAAATGTGCAGCTGCAAGTTTCAGCCAGCCATGAAATTCAGCAACTACAATCACTTGCACGCCTATTTAGCTTTCATAGGAGACACCTGAATCACAGCTGATTCATTCGTTTATGATATTCGTTTTATCATTTGCTCAAAGCTGTCGTGTGATCTGCTGAGCTTTCGGAACTGAGTGCAAAGCAGAAGGATTGATGACTCAAAGTTTCCTGATTGACTGTAGTGACGGATGTTTCCAGGTTGAATCAGGTTGAATGACTACACATTAAGACGAGTCATGTCTGTCACATTAGAAAAGACCAGTCACACGTGGAAAAGTCGAGTCAGTTAGCACATTCTGAGGAACTGAACATATGAGTTGATAACAGTTATCAATGAGGTACAAGTTGCCTACATGTTCAGCCATAAAGCTTTTTTACTGGAGGAAAGCTGGGGGCGTCAAACGAATTCCGTGGTTGCAGTGCGAATTAAAGTGGCCAAAACTCAAAACTCGCCAATGTGGTTTACTTTCAAACATCTTTAGGGCCACGGGTGGCCGCCTGAAGCGTAAAACTACATTTTCCTCTTAAATAGTTCTGGAGGGATTTGACTGAATGGAAGACGTCAAAAGAGGACTGTTTCCTCGTTTGCAAACTAATTTTTTTCCGAGAGGCTCACCTGGAACCCAGCTGAATCTCTCGTTTGTGATGCCCTGCGAGAACAGAACGCTGCCGCTTGGTACATTTTCCGCTTGTGTGTAAGGTAAGCATTCAGAGCAATTCATGTATCTGGATCACAGGACTATTCAGTGTCACACAAAACTGTAAAAAATGAGTTATGACGCTGAACACAAAAGATCCAAATCTGAAAGGCTTAGTCGCTTGAAAAGTTTGCGTAAAAGGCTTTGCAACACGCATAATCATAAGCGTTGTATACGACTACTGAGTTGGTGGGGGCTTCGAAATCAAGCAAGCAGTAATCAACAATTTCATCACTCATCGAATAAATATAGGCTGGTAGTAAAGGCCGGCACCATATCACAGAGCATCAATTTAATTGCATCCAGTTGAACATATGATGATTAGCATACTAACATAATAGAGACCATTAATGTATCATTATTCTACCTGCTTCTGCTCTTAGTAATAATGCTATTTCTTGCTATTTATTTAGGTGTCCAACTAAATCCGGACAGTCTCAACTTTTGGGAAAATCCAGCGAATTCAAAACCGTTAATACTTAAATCTGGAAAGCTACCAGTGGTTCAACCTTAACATTCCTTTGATGTTGAAATTTTCGCTAAGCAGAGTTTGAAGCACTTTAAATGTGACGCTCGAGTTGGCTGAATCGGACCTTTAGCTGTCAAATAATTTTACAATTTGGAATTCAAAATGCAGCTTTCATCTTGGAATTTCAAATTCCAGTTTTCTGAATTCTAAATTTGGAAACAATTTTTAAATTGAATATCCCATAAAAATATGGTTTTAGCATCCGGAAATTAATTCGAGGGAGTTTTATGTAGCAACTCGAATTTATTTTATATGTTATTGATAATATAATACAAAGGAAGATGTGGTCGTACTGAATGCAGTCAATCTTCTAAACACGGTTGTTTTGGCCCTCTGGTTTGACCGGATCCATCATGCATGTTGGATGTTTCTTGTGTGCTATTTGTCTGAAAATCTCGACGAGTGGTGGTTACGTCGGAAGAAACATGATGACGTATGTAGTCTGTATGAATCTGGTACAGTGTCACATTTGAACCCCCTATTGTGGTCACCAAATCATGATCACATATATTCATACGTTGGGAAATCATTTATCACTAGATGTGTGAAACTTTGTCGATATACGATTGTCACATCTTTCCAATCAGATAGCTGCATGATGAACAGTTAGAGGAGTTAACATAAAGCCTGGTTTGGAAAAAAGCCTGATAGTAACTGCCTCCGTGATTGACAACACACGACGTACGGTTAATCGGAGGGTAGGAATCTGGGGGAAGATGTCCGACAAAGGTATGATTGAGGTCCAACTAGTAGTTGAATTTGGCCAGGACGATTCAGTTCCATATGTGGTCTGTTGTTTGGAAAAAGAAGATTATGGATGTCCACGGGTGTATTCAGACTGTTTAGTTGTCCTGCATATAGAGATAATCTTAGAGTAACAAATGAAGGTATATACAGAAATAAATTATGTATGTTGACAATCCGGCTCTTAGCGGCTCAGTTAACGCAAAGATTTAATAGACTTCGTTGGCTGTCTCAGCCACTGCATATGTTGAGAATGGAAAACAGGAATGGAGGCTGTAAACACAGTGTTAGTTTGCGAAATACTGAGGAACATGTAGGTGTTTTTATGCAAACCGTGTTGAATAGTCATTTCCGAGGAACAAATGGCTCAGGATTTACTATTTTCCATGACTGCATTCTCCATGAAAAATCGCTTACCTGAGAAGCTCACCGAGTCCGGTATGCGTTGAAGCTGAATGAAGACTGTAAGGCGTTCATGAAAATCGCCCATGATTGTTGTTTTAAACATTCTGTCCGGGCTAGCGGAGGAAAACAAAACGTTCATCTGGACGGATTCGCCGATAACATCTGTCCATTATCTTATGTGAATCACCAAAAGGCGTGATAATATTCATCCTGAATTATGTTGTTTTATCCAACCATCAGATGTACAATAATCACATGATCCGACACAGTGTTGCAGGTCAAAGCTTAGACAGTTATCGTGTGCCATTAGCCACAGTGTTAGTTGTGATCAGGAAATAAATAGTCATTGTAAACTTGCTTGCCAAAGAAAGGGAATTCCTCACAAATCAGAAGTAATGAAAATCGAATAAGATACTGCAGAAAATGGAATTCAGTGCTTTGAATCATCCAGTTTCTATTCAGCGAAGAAAAGCCCTCAGTGTAAGGATCTCATTGGAAGGGTGGAAAACAATACAGCCTTGACACTGGCAAGTGGGTTCTTCTCTGTTTGATCTGTGCTTTGTGTTTTGCTCACGTAAGTACAGTGTGAAAAGGCTGTTTTGCAAACTTACTACCATTCGGGTGACGCAAAGACTGAAGTTTCGCCTATTCACTGACTACCATAAATGTTGCAGTCTGAAGTACCATTTTTTAAGACAATACCACATCCGGACAGGCTCTCGTTTAGGAGGAATTTCATTAGCACTCAGGCACTCCCTAGTGACTCAACGTTACTTTCAGAAGTTTTCTCAGTTTGTTGAATTCAAACACAAGAAAAACTTCTTTCTCACACAATAAGTCTGTCATCAGTATGAAATATTTTAATGTATAAATTTGAAGTTCATTATACTGTCATGTGAAAGTGATCACCGACCACTTTGTATTATGGTCTGGTATTGCAAGTATTCCCAAAAAGTGATATCTCGAAACCACATTTTGATTGTCGTGAGGGGTTTCTTTTACGAATTAGGATCGTCTTGTCAACCGCTGTATTAAACTGAATTCCACATACCTTAGCCCAAAAATTCTAAGAACAGCATTTTTGCAACGGTTTCTATTCTTCTTTGGTGTTGTTAACAAAACTGGTTAAGTAAATTAACGATAGTATTAGGGTGAAGCGCGCAGTAATTCATAAGTCGTGGTGTCCTGCATAATGAACAAACACTTTGACTATGTGGGTCGATTTTGTGAAAACTAAAATTATTCTGTCTCCAACGTGTACACTCAGTTTGGTAATTAGATTTCACGCGTGGGCGGGGGTAAGGTAAGATATTCAAGCGGTACGGGAACAAGAATGAAAGAAACCAACCTCAGTGAAGGAGAAGAGTGCCACAAGGAAGGTCCAGTTGGCCAAGTTTACCATTAGCGCGATGCAGAAGAAAACGTGGGATTCATGAGGCACAAATTCTTCAGCAGCAAAGATACGGTTGGTTGAACTAGATAGCAAGATCGCAATCATTTTAGACCGATCGAAGACCGGTTTTGTAAAAAGAGCGGCAGAAAAATGACACGAAAGTTATCTGTTCCTAGAAAATTTGACTGCTAGCTATATACGGACAGAAACTCCCCATGACGTGTAAAAGTGTGATGATAAGGCACGTATGACGCTGAAACAGGTTGTTCGATAGTAGTAGTGGAAGTATGGTGGGCAAGGTACCCAGACTTCTGTCCAACTCACTCGTAAATATGCGGAATCCTATCTTTCATTGAACACCTCCGCAAACACCGCAAAATATTTGTTCACGAGTATATTCGGTATTGGCTTCAGTAGTGTTTCTCACTGTGTCACCAAACGCACTGAATAGATTACACATTCAGTAAATTATGTGCGGAGAATTTTTATATACCAAGGTAATCTGACCAACGAGTTGCCTTAAAAGCCTTTTGCCAACCAGATAACTTGCTGCACTCACGTTCAAAGCAGTGGACGCACTATAACAGGCCTGGTCTTTGTGATTGTCACCAAAATAAAACATAAAAATGTGAAACAGCCACTACTTTAGCGAGATAAGTACTGGAATTAATGGGTAAAAAATGAATAGATGGAGTAATTTGGTTTGATCGGCGAGGCACAATAATGTGCCGATGAGCTAGCTGTGCAGATAGACTCACGATGAAAATGTCACGCAAACTTTTCAGGCACACAGATATGATGTCCAGGTGAAAGTACAAATTTTGAATTAGAGCCGCACGCCTCACTTAATTTATAGATATTTGTTTTTTTAAATTTTCATCTTGTGAAACAGATCCTCTTAAATTACGTACTTTAAATAAGTTAAATAATTTCAGGCATGACTTTTTTACCATCCACTAATCCAAGTTTGAAAACTCCTTTTTCTCTACACATCGTTTGCAAAAACAGTGTACAAAAATACAGTGACAGGAGAAAACTTGAAAAGTTACCAGATCATACCGATCGAGAGAAACATCACGCCGAAACCACTAAAGGGTGAGTTTGGAATTAGTTTTGTTGTTGTTATGCTCATCAATTTCAACAACGGTGTAGATAGAACTCATCTGTGAATTTTGGTTGGTTCTAACCTGTGCGCGCAAAACTTTGTTTCAGAGCGGCAAAATCCGCTTAGTGGTGAAAATGTGAAAACTTACAAATATCGATTCGGAGAATCCGAATTGGCCGTAAAGAGAAGAGGTAAGTTGGTGTGTGCTTCACGGTGATAGGCTACAGTGTTGAAAGCCGTTGATTTTGTTTTTAGGAGCTCTGGTGTGATCACTCAGTCAACGTCAAATTTTATGTCGGATATGGATGGTATATAAACCTGTGTATCTGTCAGCGAAGTGGGTTGCCAGCTGAGATTTCACTTGGTTTATGGTGTCCTCTTTTTGTTGATGGGGTAGCAAAGGCCTGACAAGTGCCGGTCATGGGACCTTTTACGAGAGGTGACAAGAAAGATGAGCAGAGATTACGCACTGGATTAAATGATTAATTGAAGTGGATGTTTTTATTCGTCAGACTCAAGTACCATAATTAGGTTTGTATTAATAGATTTTATTCCACCGGCAAGAAGGATAGGCGTAGCCTACTCTCCTTTGTGAAACGCACTGAATTAGGGGTGATTTCATATGAACAGAAACACGTAAAACTACGCTAGCTCCATGGACGAAAACTTCACACTGCCGCAAAATCAAGCAAGTAAATGTACAATTCTTAGTCGCGTCATGCTTGTGACAGATTTCTAACTGAGGGGTGTACTTCGATTCGCTATCATCCTTCGTTACACCTTATAAATTGCGCCTAATAAAAAGAGTGCAAAAGTTAAAGACAGGGTAAGCCTTTACTCACGAATCAAGAAGGCAAACTAATGTTCGAGAGGTGACCAAGTTCATACGGTGTACAGATACTTTTACACGCATACTTCAGTTACAAACCGCCTAACCATGTATTGCAATCAAATTTATTGTACGAAATGAAGGTCGCGCGTCAAGCTAGCTATAAGTATAATAAGCAGTGTGGCGCTTGATATTAGTGGAGATCAAAGGAGTGAAAGGTGCACTAGCTGGATTCTTCCGGGTCAATTAGGAGTAACCGAGTCTGCTACTACTTAGAACGAGCTTACTGAATAATTTGGACCCCAATGCCACTTGAATGAAACTTTTTCCATTGAAAAATAATCATAAACCATCCAGAATAACTAACTCAATTATAAATAAACTAGCGTGTAATTGAAGTTTAACCAGTCAGGGGAATACTGCATTAATTCGACGGTATAGCTCAGCGATATGGAACATTGGCATCCTTACACTGCTAGAATAGTCCATTGGTGTTAAATTCCGCGTCCTACGGCTAATTGATGGGAGGTATTTTATCTGAATGGTATCGCATAACTGGTATACTATTTTGTATTGCACTACTCATAAGGTTGCTGAAAATTCTTCGACAGCCCACGAGCGGTTTCGCCGTTCTTGGGGCTCATTAGGTGGACTCATTCCCCGAGTTCCCGTCAACCTTATGTTCAACTTGAAACCAAATTTCACGAAATTAGCGAAATACATTCGTTTGCAAACAAATTTGGTTCCGCGAGAGACTCAGCTGGAACCTAGTTGAATTCTTCGTTTATAATGTTTCCAGCAACCGTATGAGGTGCACAGGCCGCCTCGTGTTCCAGTTGGTACGATATTCGAGATATCGCGATACGTGTATATTCGTATAGTATTCGTATACTATTTCCCATACCCAAAGAGTAAATGGAGTTTACGTTGTAAAAAGCCAGGTGGTATTGTATACTGTTTTATTCCTTACTGTGGCTTATTACCAAAACGCAGCTTATGAACTCCTAAGGAGATCTGAGGTCACCACCTTCCAGGTAGCAGTTCGGTAATACCGACCAGCAACAAACTGATTTTGGTTAGCGTTTGTGACTTGGATAATATAGTGTGCCCATTGCCTTCCAGTGGGAGAACGATACACTGATCCCTATTGTGCTTTCACTTTCCAGTGAACGGTTCCTATGATATCATAAGAGTTGTTGCTTTGGAGCCTTGTCGAGACTGCGGAAATGTGCATTGAGGATGACGTGGCTGCAACCCACTACTCTGCTGTTTACCATACAGCGACTTTGTTCCCCAAGCTTTTAAGTGTTTTATCATCAACCTGCTCAGAACGGGCTACGTTTAAGCGCAGTTGGTGATGCCGATAAAAAGCTTTCGACAACGAGCAAGTCTGAAGTATTTCAAAGAATCATGTGCTTCACAGTGAAACTCGTAATAAGTGGAGATGGCTCACTTGGAGAGTAGTTAGGGGATTTCATTCAACTACTGTCTTTGCACTCATGAATTGGTTCATCCAGTCATTAAAAGCCACAAAAGAAAATTGAGGGGACAGAGCATGATCCGTCGCTCTAGAAGATTGACTGGCTGGTCTGCCGACAAAGGTAACGAAACCTCGCATAAAACTGTCCTTGTCTGAAAGAGGCTTTCGAAATTACGTGTCGTATTCAACGCATAAGAAGCAATAATCAGAAATGAAAATCATATTCATGGAAAGGTCACCAGCGGCAAATCTTCGTGTTCATTGTGATTCATCAGTTGGACTTAGTCAGGTGTCCCACCTCGTATTTCATTTCATCATTCAGGTAGTATCAGAGGTTTGTTCTTCATGAACTAAACAAGCAAAGACTGGTACGTGGTCTTACATTGACTAGTTATTTGCACATCAGATGATGCGTACAATCTCATTAGCTAGACAAAAACCTCATCGGACATTATTCCTGTGGGATCTAGAAACACGTTTTTGAATCTCATCCAATCAGATACTGAAGATATTTCTTCCTCATTCTGTCTGGTAGTCTGTCATCTTATATCCCTTTCTTCTTTTGATATTAGAAGCCAGGTTGTGTTTAAATAATTCATGAACCTGTTTATATTAAAACTGAATGATCTTCAGAACGCAGAATCTCTTCTGCAGATAGTCAACACAGATCAGCACCGAACCAACGCTTTGGTGTAAATGAGGAAAATATTTCTGTTTAGTGCACTCCTTACAGGAGGTTAGAGGGTATTCTAGCCTTACCATATTGAGTACCCTTGGAAATTCTAGAGCTCAACAAAACGGACCTTCTAACAACTTGTTTTTATTGAGATTGGTTGGTTTTTATTGCTTATCATAACTCTGCTACTTTTACAACGACGCAGCACAGAAGCTAGCCTTATTGATCAACCAAATTTATAGACTCCTATTTAATCAGGTTGTCTTGTAACATCACATTTTGCCAAAAGTATTTCAAATGAAGTGACTGAGTATCTAACACTTTGATTCCAGGAACATATTGCCCCAGAATCATGAAGATGGAATTGGGGAATTTCTCGGGTGTTTTCGTTGACATGGGAAAAGTGGTTTCACAGAAATAACAGGTTTCTTCACCGAAAAATACATCTAAAATTTGCAGCTATTTGACTGAACAATGAACGCACATATCTTAGTGAGGGAACTGATTTTTTACACAATTGTCTGCTAGTACTTAGGTGGTTAGCTAAAAACTCAGCTAAATGCATTTAAGAATCAGTAAAAGTGCATTTTAATATAAGGAGTGTGCGAAAGCTGACCAAGAATACTCTGTCCTACAGCGCGACTCATCGGATAACAGGCCATTCTAGAGGCTGTGGACGAATAAGGTTAAACACATGACTCTTTAGCCTATATCAGAAGCTGTCATTTTGTGATTTTCATGAAATATCCTGGATGCAAAGCATTGACGTGTGATCCTTGAATACAGTCTTGTCTATAAATTTTAAACCAAGGGCTCCAGAGTGTGACGTATTTGAAGTCTTGGAAATGCTTTGCGGATCTGGTTTCAACAGTTTGCTCTTAAAGACATGGAAAAATGGAGATAATCAGAATATATTCACAAAGAAAACCTCCAGCGAGATTGCTGGTGTCTTCGACGGCCTACCACCGCATTTGCCTTTCTTGAGGCTCACCAATTAGGTGCTGTCCCAGAGTTTTCGTCAACCTCATCTTCTAGTTGAACGCAAATTTTACAAAAATATCAAAACACACACGTGTGTGTATGCAAATTTGGTTTCCACGGGACGTCCAAACCGGTAGAAAAACATCATAAACCAGAGATTAAGGGAGAACCTGTTCAAAATTAGTGTAGCTGACAAATGACCAGAGTTTTATATCACTGGCTGATGACGTTCATCTTCCAAATCTGCAAGTATGTCAAGAAAAAACTGTTTACAGTTGACTGAAGTTACTGAACTGTTCAAATACTGATGCCTCGGTTTGCCTTTGCTTCAGGGAGACTTTCGACTCAATGATAGGTTGGCTCTTCTACATATACTTACCCAACAAGATGTACCTTCGAAGTCTGTTAACAGTTCCCGCCCCATTCATTTCCATACTTCTAGTCGTGATATAGGCTACTACGATCTATCTGGAAGTAAACTCACAAATAATGAGTTCCGTCAGGGGTGTTCCATCTCCCCAGTTTCGTTCACTCTTCGCGACGGCAGGATCGGAAAGGGCCACTAATCTGAGGGATCAAAATGCATTTGGACAAAATTTGCTGACTTAGATTGTGTGACACTGTGGAAATGTTCTGCTGTTCACCAATCGGACGTATGCAGAAACTGTCGGCATAGAATTTCGGAAATGGTCTACTGTTTGGGCATGCAGCATACACTCTTAAAGTGCACATTCTCACATCACCATTTTTGGTCCCACTTCAGCTTTTTCAGACCCCGTAATGAGGAGGTTGATCTTGTTGGTAAAGTTGTTTTTCTTGGCAGTAGCGTAATCGGTGATTGCAGTTTGATGGGCAATATCTTCAAACTTGTTACCTTTCGCATCAGAAACGAATGTCAGGTTGAGAGTTATCATCTTCCGCGTTCAACACCGATGCTTCGCTACCTTGGGTTGAAAGGCGGTATCTTCAAAACGACGATGAGTGAACGCCTACTGTATGGTTGTATTACTTGGCCACCCTAATCTAAAAACTTCAAACGCCTCCAGGTATTTGATCACCGAGGTATTTCTAGTATAGCGGGCGGTAACTTATTGCAGGATGTACGAAATGAAACAGTCTGTAAAGGGGCATTAGGCAATAAATCAAATTCGCCGGAGTAGTAGATGGGACCAATAAGTTTACTGTCGTTGAGATATGCACTACTAGGCCTAACAGCCATCTGCCGAAGGAAGCCATGTTTTTCACTACAAACTACTGCTGGAGAAAAGTTTGCGGAGGACGGGCCATGAACTGGCAACGACAAATGAAAACGCTTACTGTCAAGTTGAATGTTATAACACCCTTATGTTTTCCCTAGTGGGGTCCAAGTGATTCTTATCGGCCTGGAAGCCCTACTTGACATTGCATGTTACGACCTGAATGGCGAGTTTGCCGAAACTTCCTAGCTAAACTGCGTAATCTACGCCAGCTTTTCGTTGTGACATGTGCGGCTCACAAAGAACGTCAGACAAGACCCATCGATAGCGTGTTGTTATGACGTGACGTTAGGATGTGTTCACCCTAGTGGAGGATGGAGAAAATTCGGTCTCGTTCACTATACATAGTCATAATGCACTTTGAAATGAGTCTCCAACCCCTCTCTCCATATCTGCCATTTACCAGGTCCTTTCACCTCCATGGTTAAATGACAGTTGAGTAACGGTCTTCACTACTGCTTTATTACCGTCTACATTGATGACGATGATGACGAGGACAGTGATGGTGATGATAATTGTGAACGTCCTCCACCTGATTTTATCGGAAAACTGACATCAAATGAGAGTTTTTTGATGAACAAGATGACGTATACAGAAAGCGAAGATTAATGGGGACAGATGTTCTTTGACTGTCGTCAAAGGAAAAGTTTCCATACGAACCGACTGCAGTTGGTAGAACAATCTTGAGTCAGCTTTTTACACAAGGTTCAGGATTTTTGACAGTAATCTAGTGAAAACAACTGAAGTCAACAAAATACTTGAGGAACGTCAGAAGTACAGCGGGGAATTTTTCGTCTACAGCTAAAGCGCATAAAATTCTCCGGTTGGACGAGTGGATGGATTGTGTACCGGGACTGTGGATAGACGAATTGAGGTGGTTTTTTCCCAGTGGGTTGTTAACTACAAAAAGGGCCGTTTTGAACTGCGCAGTCAACTGGTCAAAACTTTGGAAACACTTTATTGAAAATTCTGACTTCGTTCTTGGCAAGTCATGTTTCATATTACGGATGACGATTTGAAATAAAGTAATAACTATCCGGCCGACAGATCTCGTGAAAAATGAGGTGCAACAAAATTGTCAAGCATCAGTGGATAAGACAGTCCACCTGCACGCTTCCAAATGGATGCAAGCACAGCAAAATCATAAAAACTCCACCTCTTCCGACTGCTCCAGATACTCAGATTTCAATTGTCTTGCATCTTGACTGAAGGAATTTACCGTAAAAGTGTGAAAAAATACCTCAAGAATGCGAAAGAATTTGCATAAAAAGAAAATAAAGATTAGGGCTCATTAGTGGGGAAATTTTCTCTCGCCATAAGAAGTACGCTGTAAACGCCAACGGATGTTGACTTTTGAATATGGAGTGGCAGTTAAAATACTTTGAATTGGATATATCATGATCTCTTTTTAGTACATTCGGGAATAGTTTAAACTGTAAATCGTGGAAATCTGAGGGCACCTCCAGTGGCTGCACCATGCAGTACTCTGCTTTTGCAGCCTGAATGTGTTCTAAGGGTCTCCATTATAACATTCTGCGCCAATTAGTGCGATTTTAAACATATTTGTTATGGCCACACAGCAGGTACTCAGTGCGGCCGGTAGTAGCCTGTATGAATCTTTTCAACCTCAAGTAGACGACAACTCCTACATTGTAACAGTTTTGCTGTTTTTGTTAATCTTACAGATTTGAGTTCTCCATTGACCGGGGAGGGTTCTCGAGGCCGAACTTATGTAGTGTCGGTTGAGGAAAAATCAAATATCCCCTTGGCCAACGGAACAGACGAGTGCAGGACACATGCAAGGGCCAGATCATCCGGACCTTCAAGGAATATTTTAACCGGGGAAAACTGTGAAACATTTATGGTTTGCCGCGAAATGCGCAGCGAACGGCTGAAAACTCCGTTAACAAGTGGGAACTCAGGTAATATGACTTCATTGTTTGCATTCAAACTAAGCCACCTCTTAAATTTCAGGGCATCTTTTAGGTCTTATTTTGCCTTACTTCCTGGTATTCAGCTGAAAATCTACAAAGTCTTTCATTGTGACAGTTGAAAAACGTGTCACAACTTTGCTGTACATGGTACAACTGTTTACTGGAGTTCATTGCCTATTGTATGAAGCATTCTGTGAACTAAGAGTAAACACTGGATGGATGGTCTTTGTAAGCTCACCTACTTCATCTGGCTTGTGTTAAGTTCGAGAAAGTCCAAAGACTTAGGTGTACAGGTGCTGGTGTCTTCGGTCATAATACCTGGTTTCCCTATCGTAACCATGCCAACTGGAAGCACCAGAGCGTCTATTTGAAGACCGACAATAGTCTGTCATAAATATCGTTAGCTTCTTATCTTATAGTCTTAGACATCTCTGACTTAGAGGAGAAAAATGCGGTTGTGCCAGAGAAGTGGCCATAGTACAGGGGCGCACACAGCTCATCCCGTGCCACTGACGTGACCAGGAATAAGACCTTACAATAAAAAACCTGATCCAGTGTTGACCCAAGGCAGCAGCCATATGGATTTGGACAAGATATCCGATACAGAAAATTCTCCTGCACAACAAAATCAACATGATACTGGAAGATTAGCCATGGTGAATTACCGATTACCCTTTGTCTGAGCGATGTCCCAGTAGCTCCTAAATTTAAAATTCTTAAGAGAACGAATGTAATTTTTATGTTTTTATGCTCTTATTTGTATTCTGAAAGCGAGCACAAGCAGCAGCCTCTCATCAGAGAAGTATCCAATATGCCCTTGGTTTTGTTCATAAGGCAAGTGGGGATGTAAGCACCACACCCTTGCGTGAGCTCTACACCCAATTCCACTCCTTAGAATCTTCATGGATAACGGTATTGATGAGTTCTTCTGAGTTGACTACCACGAGCCAAACACGAAAACCGGAAGCTGCAGCAACCGAAAAGCTGACAGTGTGCTGTTATGGAAGGTGAGACTGAAGGTGCGTTGATCAGCTTGTAGGTGAAAACTTGCTAACAATTTCAGTGAACAGCGCTTCCAAATGTTTCCTAACAAATGGGATAAACAAGGTTTGCCAGTCTTTCAAGGTGTTACAATTAAAACGGTTTAACGGGGAACCTTGCCAGCAGCTGACCATTGATGGTGTTTTTCCGGACAACGTCAGGTGCGAAAGTAGCTCCTTCGGTATTCAAACAGCTTCACAAAATTAGAGTACCTAGAAATTCCTGGGTGCAGCTGATAAGCTTAGCATGTACGAAAATGTTGCCAATTCATCCGAGCCTCAGTTTCACATGATCCATTTATTAAGCGTTTGAGAATACTCCAATGACAGCGTAACTAAGTTCACACCACACTTTGTTAAAGACATTCGAAGCAGTTGAACTATTCGTTAAGCGGACATAAGTTTCATACTTTCTGTTTTCTAACCAGCATGCGCCTATTGCCAAGGAGGAAACTTGATAATCTCCATACCTGTCTGCTTGAGGAGTTGGTACTGTGTTTTCAGCTGAAAGGAAAAGTTTGAAGTCAAACTGAGGGCAATTTCTTAACAGTGGTAATATATCTTTTTTACACTGTAATATTAAGTTTACGCTACTGGTGTTTTCGACTAAAAATCATATCCTTCATTGTCGGCTTAATTAATCCTCTTTCCGAACGTTCCCTGGTTTGTATACTAATGAGCAACAGAACCGTGATTTGTGGGCTAGATCGCAGTGCACTGACAATCTGAGCAACAATCTAGGTATTCCAAGAAAGATTGATTGAAAAAGTATTCGTTTTACAACCTGACTACTTAAGTGATGTTCTAAAATTATTCGAGAAAATGTCACACTCAACATTTGTTTTTTCTTAAATTTATGGATAGTTACTGCTTTAGGATATTCAAAGCTTTATTGCTTCAATTTTTCAGTGTGAATGCTTCTTCCATTTTCAGCTCCATATAATATATTGACGGGATCCTAACTCACCGAGTCGAACAATCTCACACTTTGGAAACCCGGTCATTGCGGTATCACCTAGTCGGCCTATGAACACTAGTGTACAACAGCTTTCTCATTCAGTTCAATCACCATGCTCTTTACGTCCCATAAACACCCTGACTAGACTGGGGTGCACTGACAACAAACTTGTGCCTGTATGCTTACACCAGTCCATTCTTCATTCGTGTTTCACATTCTTTTGAATCCCTAATTACATGATCCAAATTCCTTTTGGGATTTCCCTCCATGCAACAATTGAGCCGATTGTAGATGACTTACCAAATCTCACCCAAATTTTCAATTTACTGAAAACGGCTAGAAAAAGGTCAGAATCCTCCGCTGCTAATCGCTCGCATTGTTAGCAAAGTCGTAAGTCGTGCAAAATTACGAAACAACAGGATGCGTATTTTTTATCGTGCCGATTTCACTAGCTGGCAAACAATGGTGATTTAATCAATCACCTATTACCCCATTCTCAGCAATAGATTCAGCAACCGTGCACATCTGCGTATCTGATGGAGGCTAGGCTAGAATCAGGCTGTTTCATCAAACATATATTGATTGATGAGCCCGGCACGGTGGTTCGGGGACTGAATATGTTCTCTTTTGTGTAGACAACTCCACCGAAAACTTTCAGGTGCAACAGCGTTTCCCGTTAATTGTCCTTTAGGTTGTACTTGCAAAGCCGACATTTGAAAACAAACATGCATAGTTCTAGAGTGGAAAGGCAGGATTTGTTGTGGAAATTTTCAGACTGTTCCACAACATAACGACATACTGCCGAGCATGCCTTATTTGTCTGATTTTTGCTATTGCATTAGTACGAAGAGAACTGTTTGCGTTTCTAGCACACCTTCTTGGCAATTAAGTGAAGCAAAAAAGACGTAACTCGCAACCACTTTTTGTGTAATCTTCGCCAAGCAAATTTCGCTATTCACCAAAAGAAGTTGGCTGCAAGTTGTTGGTCCGTACTTGGAAGCTCGTGAAATGTATAGAAACGGTATTCATTCAACGGTGTTCATTCGGTGTATGCTTCAGTAGAATAAACTAGGCGCAGTCACAGAGTACTCGTCCACAGTGCCACCTAAATGCATTTTTTACGCGGGGTCATAGGGTGTCAAACCTTAAAACCAGAGTTGTGTGAGCCGACCACGTGAACATCTGGATTTTCCAATTTGCAGCCTGCATTCTTGCTTCCCTAAACAGTTCCAAAAAGTACGCCTAAACGCTGAAAAGACTCCTGTAGAATTTATCTAATTTGTTATCTGTCGTATCCAGACTTAATTTTTTAGGTGACCTTCGTGCGCGTAACTAATTCGTGCCAATGGGTAGAATTGGATGATAGAGTTGACCATGTATTTGAGTTTACTTCTTCTATTAGGTTGAGGGTCGTAGGAACACAGTCTCGTGCAGAGTCACGGCCCACATTGTACTTATCAGCCACTTTGCAACCGTTTGACCTTAATCTGAAAGCGTAGATGGGCAGCGGTACTAGAAGGCTAATCATATTAAAATGATCAACTGATACAATTAGTGGATAGGCTCACTTGAGCCTTAGAGCCATCAATTTTACACCACTCTGCACCTGATGAGACATGGGAGGGGCGAAACCGGTCGTGGGCTGTCGAAGAGTTTACAGCAACTTTGTGAGTAGTTTCCTCTCTGAAAATTAACACCACTCTGTTTGACATGAGGTTGCTGTGAAAAAGTTGATTGACGCATGCGGTCAGGTAAGATGCTCGATTGAACTCCTTGTGTATGGCTGTGGTTGGCGGCCACTGTACACGTTTTGGTTAGTAGCATAAATGGAGCAGACGATTAATTAGGCTTGCTCGAACAGGAAGTTGGTCAACAACCATGGCCTATTTGAAATCATTTGGAAAGGGATCTATAATGAGATAAGTGTTATAAGAAGAATCGGACTAGAAACCCAGTGTTCCCCAACAACGAGATGGTTGTCGAAGAAGGGATATTTGTGCATCTTAAATTCAGGATAAAATACTGGCTGCCGGGGCATGAAAGAAACAGACTAAGGGATCGATTGGCCAGCCGGTTTGCGCAAGGTATTTATCATAAGCAAAGCTCACATGTTCAACTGGGAAAATTTGAAATCCGATTAAAAGTCGCACGGATGAATGTCACATTCATCAGGGGTTTCACTGCACGTCAATACTTCAGCAAATTTCTTTGCTCGAGTGCACACATGAAGTGCGTTTTTGCTGTAACATAGCAAGAAAAACTGACTGACCAAAAGTGTACACGGAAAGGAGTATTATCTAACGTAGCTGATCATCTCCGTCGACGAATTTATAAATTGTGTTGTGATTTCAAAATGCATGGAAAACTAGCAATGACAAATAAACGATTTGTTCGTTGACGCGAGTTTTTCCGGACTTCCTCGTCTTCATTTCGGGTTGAATGGATGGCAGTGCTTTTGCGTAGTTAGTTTGCGAGCTGTTAGACTACAGAAACAGTAGTAGATTATCAACACCTTTGGTCCCATTAAGGTAGAATCCATTCGGCTGGATTTAACCAGAATACCAACACTTTTTGGCGGGTGAAACTTCCAACAAACCACAAAACCGAATCCCGTGTGCGTTAGAACAGTTTGAGTGATTCTAAGTGTTTCCCACAAAACCACGAAGGTCGTTCTATTCATTTACGCAACAAAAATAAATGAATAGAGCGGCTTTCATCACTTTCATCACTTGTTCATCTAGAACTTTATTTCCTGGAACATAGTCAAGGAGTAAATAAGCACTTAATTATGCGCACTCATGTTCACAGCGCCCTTTCCGATTCGTGTTATTTATTCTACGCACACTCACTTTTCCCAGCATATCCAGTTCGCCCGATTACCACCGCCAACATCAACAACGACAACAACAACTCACAAGAAGGCCATAATATCTGTTCGCTGGAACAAACATGTAAGGTGATAAGCCAGCTGCGATCAAGTGTCTCGTAACACGTTGTTTGTGGAAGTTAGCTCAGTGTTACGGCTGATTAAACTGACCCTGATCGGGCAACCCAAACCTTGACTAGTTTTTTCACTTCGATGCCATCTAGTTGACCGTGGGTTTGCTTCCCGTTCGAAAACTAATCATTCATTCAGGGTGAACTTACATGTGCAGATATGATGACCAGTCGTTGCAAAATCAGGTTTTCCCAATTAGAGAGCATGTTGAGCTAAAGCCGTGAGAAGTTAGGCCAAGAACGGCCCAAGAATGCTTAAGCGAAAAACCAGTTGTTTAGGGTAGCCCTATTAGCGTACCCTAGTTTCCGACTTGCGGCCTTGTATCACTCCAATCTTGATGCTGCTCCACCCTATAAAGAGGGAGGGGGGAGTTGAAAGTCTACTTTGCATAATAGGCAAGTTTTTAGTTCAATCGAGCAGTTGCTGACAAAAGGAAGAAATCTTTGCTGAGAAGCAATGTAGACTCCTAAGCCAAAAAAATTTGATCGATAAAATTTCGCTGTGAATCAAGCACGAGAACAGCGTCGCGAATGACTGGCTTCACTAGAGTGTGTAACTTGGTCAACTGATGGGTGGGGAGAGAAGATTGACACCTTGGCACCTGTCCTAACTTCATGAAAGCCCTTTACGCTGGGATACAACCTCGGGTGCGGCCATATGCAGCTAGCTCTCTTAAGTTAGGAATCCATTTTGGCTTTGAGCAAGGACGTATTTTTGCCCCACTCGTTTTCGCTCTGTAACCAACTATTACCACAGTGAAGTTACTTCGCCATTAGGAAGTTAATAAGTTGTTAATGGTTATCCTCACTTCCAAGCAACTATTGGTGACGACTGTGTTGCGTGCTGCTGCTTGCTAAGCCTTAGTTACGCAACATGAATCGGAACAAAGATGTGATATGGCCATTAGTTTAGTGATATCTTGCGCGCTTATCTTGTGTCAGTCTGCACCGTCAGTTCAAGAGAAGTCTCCAAATGGTCAGCCAAGTGTATAGCGTCGTTTTTATCGCTACCTTGACAACAAGGTATCCACGGGCCCAAAGGTTTGCAGCAAATTCAAGGCACTGCGTAGTGTTAAAGGGCTCCTCAATGCAACCTGCATAAAATGACCATCTTTTGACGGCCTTTTGCTCATCCCTCACACTATTTAAAGGAGAAATCGGGAAAAATTACAGGTGGCTGGCTTCCACCTCAAAATCGACGCGAGGTTTTAATCAGTGATACAGATTGAGGCGCGACTAAAAATTTCCAGCAAGGACTGACAAGCTTTTTGCGGGCTTACTTGTACTCAGTAACTGACTGCTCTAAAACCAATGGCTGAGAATTGCGTCCTAAGTTACCGCATTTACGGTCAGCTGAAAAAGGCTTTGGAATAAAGTGATGTCTAACATTTAGTTGCGAAGAAAATCCTCAAATAAGTATGGAAAACTGCAGTTCTCGTCATCTACCAAAAGAATGATGTTGGTAATGTCTGCCTATGCAAGCGTAAAAGATTTTGAGATATGATAGTTCTAAGTGCTTTAACACAATCGACGTATCCGGATAAAAGTAAATTCGGACACCTGACATACGAGCGAACATGTTACCACTATTCCGCCAGCGAACGTTGAACGGGTGAACGTGTTCTCACTTGAGCGATATGATTGGTTTGCCCGACACATATTCGATACGACGACCCAGTAACTGTCCTGGTTGTGGCGATCGATTAGCCCAGTCAGTTAGCGCCACAGACGCTTGAAACCGGCTTGAAACCATTAGATATGCACTGCTGTTGAGCTCTAACAAGAGCGAAACTCGATTCCAGTGCTTCCCTTTTTTTTTGGGGGGGGGGATAATTGCTCCAGGTCAGGACTGTTCAAAACGACAGCGACGTGAAACTGAACAAAAATAATTTCCCCCAGTACAACCCTGAAGTCCAATGAAATCCTGTCATCACCATCCTGTACACCATTAGAACCAGGTGCATGGAAATTGAACCTGGTCAGTGTTCACTTCCTCAGTTCCAAATCTGAAAGGGTCAGTCTTAATAAAGACACTGCAGTACAAAACAATCGGTCCAACCGCCAAATGCTGCAAATTTCCACTTCCGTCGATCATTTTGTTTTGCTTTTATCCTACTATCCATGTGCCGGAAGATGTTTACTCGTACTAAATATTGCTTGCTAAGTCATTACTGAGAATTGCATAATGCAAAGTGGCTTATACTTACCAGGCGTACCGAGCAGGAACACAGCATAGATACCAAAGCACAACTTTGGTTTTAAAAACCTACAGCCAAGTTAGCAATAAAGAGGTGACGAGTCTTAGTTATGAAAGAACATAGAGCGTCAGTAATAAACCAGCTCGTCTGGATATTTT